GCAGAAATAAGTTTTGGTGAAGTATGGTTTCTGCATAGTAATATGTCCTCATGCTTTCAAGGAAGCTTTTTAGAAGGTGTCAGTACAATGCATTCCGATTTCTACCTTAGGGCAATAACTTCTAATGTAATTAAAATAATCGGCTATAAAAGAAATAAGAAATGCAAGGAAATTCTCTTTAGAAATATTCTTAGACTCTTGCAATTCCAATTTGCCACCGCTGCTGGATTCTGACATACACTATCAAGAGTACTGTCTAGCAGGAAGGAGATATCCAGTGCATCTGCCTTATGAACCTAAAATGAAACAGGTTTTTTGCTTCTGAAAATCATGCAGAAATGAGCCTATCTTTTGGAATGGAAATAGAGACAGCACATTATTTATATGATCTGACATTTACCCTTCTTACCATACTGAATGATCTTATTTCAAATAACACTGCCATTATGCAACTAACATGAGCCGAATTTTGTCACAAGAAGTAGGCTACTTAGTGTTCACTGCTCCTTATTGGTCTTGGCTAGATTGATATATAAAATGCTCTGCTGAAAACCGCACCTGCAGTAGGCTGCAGATACTGACAATTCTTAAATTGCTGAAAAGCTTTGTGAAAAGCTACATTCGCCCTAAACGAAGCTAAGGAAGAATCTTGTTAATTCAAGTATATCTGGGATAAATGTGGAGGCATCATCATGGCTCCATCACACCACCATTACAAATCCCTACAAAAAAAAAATGCTCCTTCAGCAAAGGCATTCTCAGATAACAATACTCTGTGCCAGCTAATCTGTCACCACAAATACTTAATTTTGGGGGACAGTTGGAGCAGAACGAAATGAAATCCCTGCACTATAACTTTCTAATGAGGGAATTGTGCGCATGCTGATCAAGGAATGATTGCCAAGAAAAATTAAGGCCAAAGGCATGGTCAGTGTATGGAAGATGTAGTCTTTTAGCTACTGGTAAGCAACAGTAAAGCTCAAGAAAATCAAAACACAGAAAGATAAAGGCCTCAATACCTAGAAAGCCTGTTATGCACACTCATACAGATTCTGCTTATTTACAAGACTACATATCATACTATTTTCTGTTGCTCTGGGTAGAGGAACATATTCTTGAAATATCACCTATCAAAACGCACGGTTACGATATGACCACGAGGTGGGAGCATTGCTCATCACACATACCCAAGGCACACTGATTTCTTTGTAGGTACTAGCAGTCAAACAAAGAGTGCAAATACCCACTATATTTCTGTAATATAACTGTGAACTTGCTTAGATCCCCAAGACTAACATAAAAGCATCCTTCTAATTTTCTGTAATTCCTACAGAAAAAACTGCACCTTGGCCCCTGGAATGAAGCGTTGCACTGAAAACTTTTTATTAACAGCGTAGAATCTTTTCCCAGTAGGAAAAAACGAAGAGGAGGTATAGATAACATGTGAAGGTGGAAGGGTGGAAAAAAATTTCCTCATTTATTGACAGCTTTGTCATGTGAGCAGAAAAAGAACGCAAAAAGAAAGTTTGTGAACACAAAAAAAAACTTACTTCCGTGTGATGACTACTTACAATTTTCCATTCAAAGTATTGAAAAGCAACTACTTCACATGCGAAAATCAGGTTTTCCAAAATGGTTTAACAGCGTTCTATCTGACAGGAAACATTTGACGGACTACTTGTGCTCATGTTGTCTCCAATAGGACTGCATCTTTATACGGGAAATGGCAGCCCCGTATCTCTTTTATTGGAATTGAAGATACACACATTACTGAATAACAAAAATGCCTGCTCCACAGATAAAAGCATTCACATATTTGCCCAAGATCTACTCAAAGCAGCTATTTGAAGATTAGATTAAAATGAGAAGAAAACTAGCCTATATTTAGGAGACGACTAGCATAGGATTTTTGAAGCAGTTAATACTGAAATCTAAGGCATGACTGCAGCTTACGTAGGCATCCTCAAACTAGCTTTAAAGTAGTTGGCTTTGGTACAGACAAAGTTGTAGAAAGCTCTGGCTAAACGTGTACGTAATTTCCTGGTGCCTCAGACAGTCTGTGCTCTACTCCTAGGAGGCATGTCTACTCACCTACCTGTAGGGAGCCTAAAAGTAACTCAGACACAGAAGCTACGTGTCATACCTGTGACTAGAGCACAAACTTGTTCAATGTCTCTGCGTCCACAGGTGATAGCTATCCCATGTGAGCCTGGCTACTTGGCTTCCCACATAGCAGGAGGACAAATGCATTAGAGACATTTTGGCATGTATATATTCCAATAACAAGATGCTACAATAGCCTTCGTTTGTACGTGCTCAAAAACCACCTTGGACTTGGATCCTACAAAGATTTATTTATGCATGTGCATAATTCTACATACCTTGAGCCCACTCTGCAGAGCTAGCTCAACAGGATTATTCCCTGTGCAAGAGTGAGATGCGTGCAAATCTCAGCAGCATCATATACTCTTCAGCTTTTCTCTCTCCTTGAAGGACGCCTGTGCAGCAGGGGCAGGGTAGCAGGTGTGGGCACAGTCTGACCTGCACTGCAGCATATGACACAGGAGGGTGCAGGGCTCTAGCTAGCACTAGTGGGTGGTGGAGAAAAACCCATAGCTCTTGTAGGACCTGGTTGGTAAATCTACATAAATATGCACCTGTTTAATGTGAATACACCTCAGCTGCAGACTCAGCAGGGGCTGTAAAACCCAAGTACCAGCCCTGATGCTGCAGAGGCCCAGGTTGAGTTTGACACACTAACAGGTGAGTACAATACAACCATAACTTTCATCTTTCTAACTCTCTGCCTTTCTCTTTTTCTCCAGCGCATGAAAGATTGTGTACCAGCACGTGAGAAAGCATATGTTCAAGTAAATATTTTGGTACTCTGCAAACAGCCATGTATTATCCATGGCTAATGTTCCCTTCTCTGCCTCCCTCACACGGCTGGTAAGGAGATTTATTCTAGCGTGAGTAATGGATAGAACAGGTTGCACAGAATTTGTCAAAACAAAAGTGCCAAACATAGATCTTTCCTTTCCATGGCACATCATTCACAATTTTTCTCCTGATTTCTGTCAATGAGATCATTAACTATAATCCTTCTCTACAGCGCCTGAATGAAAAACATTCAGCCTACAAATTGTCCTCAAGTGCTTACAGTTGCTTATTCACAGTAATCAACCTGTCCCATGGTATCGGTCTTTTCCCTAAGGGGATGAGCAGAATGCTTTCTTGCAGGAGAACAAACAGGCATTAAACAACTAACAGCACACAAACACTAGCAAGTCTTAAAGAGACAAATTTACTCTCTCACAGTTCAAGTCGTCATGAAACATCTCTCTCTCAGTCCTCCAGCTGGACTAAATTGCTGCCCCCTACCCTTCCTGAAAGGAAAGCCTAAAAGGCTTCCTGAAAGGATCCAGGCTTTCAAATGTAACCTCATCCTCAAATTTAGGGGTTTCTGGGACTATTCTCTTGGCAGGGCTGCTGCTCCTAAGCCTTCCCAGGAGAGCCCCAATCTCCCTGCATCCACCTCATCCTGCCAGAGCTGCTGCTTTCCGATACAGCCGCTGCTAAGCCATCACTCACTGCAGCTGGGAAACTAGCTGTTCTGCCCATTAATCCTTTTGGGCCCATTATAGCTATATACACCAGTGCACACATCCATGAACATCTGGAGATTCACACTGCTCTCTGAATATTTGTGCGTAATTAATAGCATGACTGCAGAAAGAGTCATGGACGGTACTTGTTCGAGACTGTTTTCCTGACAGAACCTTCTCAAGTGTGTAAACAATATGACCTTCTAACAGAATAACTATATCTTCCTAAACAATCCTTGCTAAGAGGGCTAAGTGCATACTTATGTGTCTGAAATTAATATATGCTTCTGGATTAACTGTTCGACATTCTTTGTCGGGGCATCCCATTTTCTTCTTATTTATCACATTGCTAGAGCAATAGGAATACTAAGTAACTTCTTAAAAGGGAACAATAAACTAGAACACACGCTATCATTTTAAGCTGCAGTACTTAACAATGAGGTTGTCTTTCCTGACCATCAAACGCAAGTACTGTACTAGCTATGTTTATCAATAGCTATGTTTCAGTGGATTTAACTGAGACACGCACACACACACACAAAGAAAATGTTAGCTCTCACACGTTTCCATTTATATTGCTATCCTTCATGTAGGCAATCACTCCTGCAGCAATGTGGGGTCCGTTACTATCTCAGACCCCGTGGTGCATGGCTGAGGGGGTGCAAAAGAACAAACGTGTCATAGACCTTATAGCTGTTTTTCCACTTTGCTGCGGCTACTAAAACATCCGTGGACCTTTACAATAGGCTCAGGGCTGTTCAAAATTATTCCCAGATGCCCAAGGAACTGTTCTCCGACTTGGGATTATTGCAGACATATCCCTTTTCTATACTGTCCTCAATGCAGCCTCTGCACTGACGTGCTCGCTCGTGCTTGTTCCCACACCTGTGGTTCCACAGCGCTTGGCAAACTACCACTTAGACGATTAATCCAAGAAAGCTTTGTGTCATAGTATAACATGCGACCATAAAAAGCAGGGGAATCTTGTACAGGGTTTGTCTTAGCTTTGTTTTGTGCATCCCCCATGCAGTCTGTCCTAGTAGAGAGCAGAATTTGGGCCAAAGGAAGTCGGAAGGATAGAACCTCATAAATCTTCATTTCCTAAGCAGCAACTTTAATAATCCAAGATTTTTCTTGCACGCACTGCACAAAAATTGATGGGTAAGGAAGATGGCTTACCAACAGAACAACAAACTGTTGCTGGGCATTAAGTGAAAGAGAAGATTTTCCCCAAGACCACCCCAATGGTTTTTTTCAAGGTTGATGACTACTTTTGTTAAGTTTCCTTCTGGTTACTGCATTTTTTTTCCTTTTAGAACAAACTATGGCTTTCTAGAAAACAGTAGATTGCATATAGAAATGGGTGAAAAAAATGCAATAAAATTAAGTCCTTACCATCTCTTTTCTTTGATTCATTCCTCACACTAGACTGATCTTTTTTGTCTGACTTATTGTCTTCCTTAAATTCACCTAGAGAAAAGCAGTAAGAAATAATATAAGCATTTCAATGCAAAGAGTAGTTTACTAATGCCTGTAACCCAATCAGATCAGAACATCAGAAAGACGTGTTCCTTAGGAGAAAATATATGAATTCACAGAGAACTGGGATTTATGCATTATTATAGAAAAAAATCTACAAAAAAATCAAGCTTTGCAATCTAGTTTAAAATTTATTCTAATTGTTAATACCTCTTTAAGTGCACATGCAAGCTCATACTTCCTCTAGCGGTGTGTAGGAAATTAAAAATGTGGAGCACAACCTTTGTTTCAAAATGAATCTCTGAAACATCTATGCTTTCAGAGGACTGAGTAAGACGCTCCAAGATTCCATCATAGCTCTTTCTAATAGAGAACGACCTTAGATGTCCCAAACAGTGCTATATAATTTTGTCTCACTTTCTCTTACCAGCCTTCCTTATCCACGGACTCATTTTGGTTAGTCCCTTGATGATGGTCTCGGAGAACAGTCAAGCATCCTAGCACTGAGTACCATTTTTAAAGTCTCTATAGCAAATCAGGAAAGCAAGGCAGAGCAATATTTGATGTAGAATGAAAACAGCAACTGGAGCTTGGGTGTATTTCATGAAGACAGGAAGGTTCAGAGTCATTCTCAACTTCTGTCCGCTATTACCAGGTATTAGTCATACACTGGAGCACAGCAGACCTTCCTAGACCTCCCTGAATGAGAATGGTTTCTTGCTAAATATAATGTTAAATAAAAAATAACTTTAAGGGAGAGTTCTAATAGAATGGGGCTCATTCAGCTGCAGCAGCAGCAGAGAAGGTCTCTTCCCTTTAGATGCCCAGAGCAGCAACAAGAGCCTGCACAGATGGGAGCAGGCAGCCCTCCTTTCCCTCCTGAATCCACTGCTTTGAAAGTGGGACCCACTTTTCAACATGAAAGAGCTATGACGAACATAACTTCAGAATTTTCTAAATGAGAAGTGCATTACATGGCCATACCAAAGTGATGCTTATTCCAGCTACATTGCCATTTTTGTTACTATGGCTACCTCGTGGCCTTAGGATCAGGATTTTCGTATCAATGTGTTATACAGGATCTGACTTGCCTTCCAGATGGTCATGGCCAATGGATATTTCCTTTCGGAATAGCTCAAGAAAGAAACTGGAGTGAAATAAGGTTTCCCTCTTCCACATTGTGCCCTAACCGCTGGGATACTTGTTATTCTTGGATGTCAGAAGATTGATCTTTCTCTCTCCCCTAATTAAGTTTCATCATAGTGTAAAAGACGAATGGCTTGGAAGTCTCTAAATATTTAACGTGATGGAAAAACATGTCCTGTCCAGTTTTCATTTACAGCCAAAACTTTCATATTTTTCTTATTAAGCTCCCTATGTGGGTGAGAGAAAAATGAAAGCAAGAGGACACAGGACAGCCAGCTACCTTCTCAGCTGATCACATTGCTACTGACTCTGGCTCCTTCAGAAAGTGCGCTATGGCCAGAGGTATGAGGAAGGACACCACCTTCAACAAACGAAATAAAAAGGTATCTAGCAAAGCACAAAAGTCTTCTCACATTCCTTCTGCCATCATACAGCTGGTAAGAATGATACGCTAATAATATTTTATTTGACTGTATAAAGAATTTGCTTGACCCTAAGTGTGTGCAGGCAGAGATGATGAACACCCACAAGTATGTTATTTCATAGCTTGACCCCTCTGAGAAGGCACGTGGGCCATGACTGAGAGAGATTTCAAACTCCTCTGATGAAACAATTTCTGAACTGTCATTGAATATAACTTATTATGAATAGGACACTTGAATATTGTAATATCTACCATGCCATACTGCCAGCAGCAGAGCAGAACGATGATCATAACGATCTTTTTGAAAGGGATTACAAAGGCAGAGAGATAATAAGGCAAATATTTTACGATAAGATATTAACATATAGGCGTAAAGGAAGCTGCAGTGAACTCAGATATGAATGTTACATTTCATCAGTCTCCAAAGACCTTGCAGTGATTGTACCTCATAAAGGCCTTTTCCAATAAATTAAAGAGCAGGATTTCTTTTCCTGAGGAAGACACTAATTTTCAGAAATCATTATAGTTCCTTTCAAAGCATTTTTGATACCTGCAGCAGAGAGACATTGCAAAAAAAAAAAAAAAAAAGGAACTGTCAAAAAGCACTAAAGCACACTTAACCCTTGTATTGTTAGAAGCACATAAAAGAGAAGATTTGGAAAGCAAAATCTGGTGCAATCTGACTGGAATTTCACATGTCCCTAACCTTTTTGTCTTCCCGGGGGCTTGTTCCCATTCACCTATGTAACGCTGTCTGAAGAAACATCCCATACGTGACAGAAAATGACAGCATGGCACCCCATAGTCTTTCCAATCTAAAAAATTAACAGCAAAGCAATATCTAGCTGTGGGAAAGCCCTGCAGGCAAGTTAAATACATGGAAAATATATCAGCAATGTTTCAAACAGAACTCCTGCCTCTGCTGCTGTCTAAACCGAAAACCTGAGCCTTGTACTTTCAAGGCTGGATGTTCCCAGTGACTCGCTGACAGCTACAATTACTTTACTGACCTTGGCCTGAATTTTGTAACTCTCTCAGGACATACTATAGGCCCGTATGTTCACTCAGACTTTTCATAGAAGGACGCCTGTGAGTCTGAGTTTTTTGCAGTTTGGGCCTGGCTGAAAATTGCCAAGTTTGGGAGAAGTCACAGGGGGCTACACTGCTATTTTTTGGTAATGGCTTAAAAGAGCTGGAGGTGGGAAGGGAAAGACAAGAACATGGCCAAGAGACAACTGATCTGTTCTCACATATCTAAGAATTTTTTTTAATGTGACACACAACTTTCCAATATTTTTCCACCTTTCTCATGTACAAAATGTGACTTTTATTTTAGCTCAGTTCTAGAGCAAGTTAAAACTGGAATGAAATTTCTGCTAAAAATTCTCCCCAAAAGGCTCATGTTTCCCCTAATAAAAAAGAGAGCAAGAGAAATAGCAACTTATTGCAGCTTTTAAGTGTGGATCATACTGGACTGCTTCATTTTCATGACAAAAATCGTTCCGTCTTTTCCTCCAAAAGTGAACACTGCTGGGGACTTACTACTGGGAGTTTCCAGTTCTCATTGGGAGGTGGCTATACCAGCTTCCAGGAAAAGGCTCTGGAATCAGGACCTCTTTTGTTCAGGCACCCCCATCGCTGAGGTCGGATACTGATTTTAGGGCTGGATTGACCTTTCAGTGGAAGTACAGAACTTACCATTCCGGACGTGTTGTTTCTCTTCTCCCATTGCTTGATGAGAGTCTGTTCCCTTATCTGTTCTAGATGCATTTTTCCCTTGAGAAGCTTCATGTTTGTTCACCCCAATTTGCCGAGTCCCATTTGCATGATTCGTACTGGAATCTGCACTTTTGTTTTCCTCAGCGTTTGCTTCTTTGCTATTTTCTGTCTTTGCTGCTGCTGCATCTTCTGCTGGGTTCTTCTCATCTTTTTCTTCTGTCTTCTTTTCCTCTGTTCCTTGATGAGCATTTTCCTCTGCTTCTTTCTTAGCTTTTTCTTCTGCATCCTCAGCAAAGAGAGAAGCAAAATGAGAAAAGAAATCACGATTATCAGTAAATTTGACAGGAATGATACAACGCATGCATCTAAATCTACTTCAGTCTTTTACATGCAAACAACTTTTACTTAGATACATGTAGAAATTGACTTGGCAAGGGAAAAAGAGCACAGAAGAACATTTAAGAAAGATTTCTAAAAATAATATTTCATATTGACTTAACTGTATATTATGTGCACGTCCATTTTTACCATGTAAGGTCCACCTTTGCATATGCAGTTCCTCCAAAATTTTAAAAGTCAAATTAAAAAGAAATATTAGCTACGTAAGGCTTTAGGAGCGGGGAAGTTAGTTTCATTCCCGACGTTCAAGAACCTGTCACACCAAATTTAGTTTATCTCATACTGCACCTTGTAACTTTAAGCATTTAAAAACGCTTGGTTCTTTGAAAATCCACTTTGTCTCCCTGGTTCCAGGTATCTTCCAATGCTAGCTTCCCGATCTTTTCCTTTGCACTTACTGTTATCCTTTCTTTGTAACTCTGTCCTTTCTTAGCAGACTCATATATCGCTGCCATTACCTGCCCTTCTATCCCAAAGCATCCTACAGTCACGCACAAACATGCGAAGGAATAAAGTGAGATGTGAATGTTAAACAGCAGCAGCATCTCAAAATGTGGTCATTCAGAAAAAAATAAATCCACAGAGAAGCCAATTTCCTCCATTTAAAATACCGCTCTTGTTCCTGTCCAAACCTTGCGTCCCGATGCCACAGAAAACACTCAACTATAACGCAGGCTGCAAATTACTTAGGCCCCAAGTGTTGAGACCGCTACGTTTCTAGCTTGGGTGCAGGTAGCACAGCCCCAGCGGCTCTGTGCAGGTTCCTGCGCTGCGTGGGGAAGTCGCGTAAAGCCACGGTCCTGCAGTGCCACGCTCGAGCTGATAAACCCCACCAGGGTGCACAGGCTCTAGGCAGAGCCACCACAGATTTCTCTCCCTTTCCCCTGATGAATAAGGAGCTACACCGCAAATGCAGCTGAGTAGCCCAGCACACTCTCAGTTTGGAGCCTGGGACAGGAATCACAAATATACAAGCATCTCCTTGTGTCTTAGAGACTGTAGAGGCAGATGAGTAGACTCTACAAAATACTGAATGAAGCCTGCTTCAGTTCCGCTGAAGCATTCTTGACACCTACAGCGAAGATGTTTTGTGTCTTACACAACCATGGTCTCAGCCAGGGAATAAAAATTACAAAAGAACTCCTAAGTATCTTCCCAAATACTTCTAATGAGTGAATCACAACCAATTTTGAGGAAAATCTACCAATGGCAAACAAAAGAGAAAGGGAGAAAGCCATCTTTATACCAATCTGTATTTCCTTGCCAGCAGCTAACTAAATTTAATTAATTTTTAAATGAATAAATTATGGCTCACATGAAAATATAATTAAATTAGATACGAGCCTTCCTCACTTTATTAATCATTCCTGAAATCTGTGGTAGCGTCCATAGACAGCTCAGCTATGCATGTTGATATTTTGCCTGAAGACTTATGGTATACAGAAGGCTTCCTCTCATTTGGGGATCTGAAAAAAGATTGCTACGTTTTGCACCTGAACCACAGGAGAGAGATTCAGCTCCGGAGACTGCGGTTTCTTACAGTACTATTGGATGAGTGCCTGTTGTCAAAAGTAGTGTCAGAAAATACTTTACTCTACACGGTGCTTTGCACATCAGGGTGTATGTTTATTCCGGCTTTTAATTTGTAGCTATTTAATGATGATCCTTTAAGCAAAAAGAGCTCAGTAATAAACTCACTTACTTAGCCCACACTTTCCAAGACATTTTCCGTAAATACCACACTCGGGATATAAACAACACACTGATGCTTCTAGGGACAATGCCCTTACCAAAGGGAGGACGGTATTCCATAAACTCTTGAATAAGAATACTAACAACATAAATTAAATAATAACAACAATAATAGATGGTTTACTTTCCCCTCTGATTCCCAGATGCTATTTGTTGCTGAACAACGGTTAGCTGCCTTACCTGTCTTTTAATAGTAATTCTTACTTTCACCATTGGAGCGTCTTGCTGCATTACAAAGACACCGGTTTGACGGGGTCGGCAATTTAAACTCCTACTGAGTGGCGGGCCCCACTGCATATGGCCAAGCTAGGCTGGACAGATGGAGGGAGGTGCAGAGATTGCTGCAAGTCAGGGATAAGACAGCAGCAAGGAGGCTTTTGACTCCTGGGCACCAGGGTCCAAAAACAGCTCCTTAGCCCCTAGCCCATATAAATGTATGCTGAGTCTTTTGTTTGCATAAATCTTTCAGGATAAAAGGATTCTTCTTTAGACCCTCATGAGCTGCTAGAAGGATTTTTTTATGAGGTACTTAAAAATAAAACACTTTCCTCTCCAGCTAAAGTAGTAATAACTGAACACTTATTGTAGGGATACTCTGTAAAGAATGGGTATGAAATATTTTATCAATACATATTACCATTATCAGCATTAAGTAATGTGCACACATCTACTTGAATTATAACTTGACATTTACACGTGCACATTTAGAAAAAAATCTTTATGCAAAGCAGTCACCGAAAATGGGTGCAAAGCACATTTGAAAGTTAAATATCCAGAATATGGTATGGTCTACTCTATATATTTGTTTTAAGTGAAATGTAAGATATGCATTATTCATTTCCCCATAGGTCTCTCTTGCATATAGGATTTTTATCTAGTAGATCCCTAGTAGATAAGCAAGTACATAAGGTACATGTATTGAAATCCTTGAAAATAGTTAACTATATTGGCTTCATTCACTCAATACGCATATACTGATGCTGACCAAGTTAAACACTCTGCCTGTTTGGCTAGCTTTCATTTGTTCGATCCAAAAAGAACACATGAGTTAGTAAATACCAATTAAAAACCTAAAAAGAATCCAAAAAAAACCCTGGCAAATAAACAGATTTTGTGTCGTGTTTTTGTTTTTATTTTCCTGGAATACATAGAAAGGCTTTTCCTCAATGTCAAGTTTTAATCCCAAAGAAAATTTAATTTGATTAATAATGTTGGCTTCCTGCACCTACACACAGGCCTTGCAACTGGAGAGGAACAATCTACTCTGGAAAATAGAAGAGCTAAGCCAAATCTTGCATCAGCTCTGAAGCTGAGGCCACATAACGCATTCAAATCAAACTTCTTCCATTAATGTAAAATATAACTACGTTAAATAAGGAATTGAGGAACACGCATTCAGCTCGGAGGAAACATTGTATCACAAACAGTTTCACAAAGGAAAATAAATCAAAGATACATTTCTTCTTATTTGGTTCCAAAACCCATCTAAATCACTCTAGGGTTTGAGGAGACCTCAGGGCAACTGAGGCAAACCTGAAAGCAGGGCAATTATACCTAAGTCGTTCTCAATATATGTTTCTCTCATTTGTTCCTAAAGATCTCCAATAACAGTGATTTGCCATCATCTAACCAATTACCACATTATAATCATCTGCCAATCATTTCTTGTTTTAACAACCAGAGATATTAAAAAATAAAATTAAAAAGATCCCTTATTTTGCAGAAGCAGCAGAATTCTACAAACTGCTTTCCATCTCCTCAGTTGTCTCTTCTTCAGGAAAAAGAAGTTACTAATTTTTGAGATACCTTACAATTTGCTTGACTTTGCTCTGTACAGTCTACAACTGTTCCACATCATTCCTGAACCACAGCGTCCAAAACTGGGCTCATGCAGGGCCCTTACTAATGCTGAAAAGAAGGGAAGAATGCCAGGTGTCTTAGGAGCAATGCTTCTGCTTACACCTTGCAGTCTTATTCTGCTTGTTTTGATTTTTTCTTTTTTTTTTTTGGCAATAGTATGACAATATTCACCCCGGTCAACTTGCAACCAACATAGTCTCTACATTCTTCTGAAATATTTGCAGTCCCTCTCAAATTCATGACATCATGAGCAAATGCAGTGTACTTTGTAATTCATCACCCAAGCTATCACTGCAAATCAAATCCAGCAGTGAATCCACAGTACTCTGTCCTTCTCCTCGAACTGTCATTCATACCTCTTTCTATTGATAACTGCTTTCTAAATATGCTTTTCCAGCTATTTTTGCCCCACCCTAAGTCTGACACATGACTTTAAGGGACCTCCCTTACAATTTCCTCTTTTTTTCCTCCTATTGTCCACATCTCTTTCATCACATGCGCTTACACCACATACAAGAGAATAAGGCACAGATGAGTGACAGTATTCCTGCCTCTGAATTCAGTGTAGGTTGTTGACCTCGAAAAGTAGATTCTTTCAAACTAATAGTGCTTACTTGGAGAAGAATTTCATTGAAGAAGAGCTTGAAGAAGAAGAGGTCAAAAGATTTTTTTATTCTTTCATTAAGAAGCCTCGCTGTTACCTTTGGTGGCTTGCGCTTTCCATTTCTCCCGATTCTGCTGTACCACCTCAGTCCAGGTGGCTTTAAAACATTTGAAGTCCACAGTGAGTATGGAGCAGTTGAGTGAGGCACTTCCTTCTGACCCAGTGCTCTTGACACTTGATCTTTTAACTTCTGAGGGACTAATGCTGTTTAGACTGGGAAACAAGATCACACAACATAGCAGGAACCAGTATACCATATGCCCAAATCCAGATTAAAAAGTAGTAGCAACTATAAATCTAGATAACTGAACAGAGTCAATTAGCAAAATTGCTAATTGCAAAAATACATAGCTAAGCTTGAATCCCTCATCCTTCCCCTCTCCTGCAGCAGGGCAATTGATGTTAAAACACAACAAGCTGAGCCAGTGTGAGAAACAAAGGAAAGCCTTTCCCTGCTGATTTGTAGGTGTCCTCAGTCCCCAAGAAAAAAAATCAGTTGCCTAGATTATCTTTGCTGCACATCTTCACCACCTAAATATTAAGTGGAGAGTCAGACATTTCCAGAAAGCCAATATGTCAAATGAGGAGCCTCCTAAAATTCACCAAGGGGAGCCATTACGCGCAGGACTGCTTCTGAGGCCAACCCTTGTCCAGAGCTTGGGGATCTCAGTTAAGGCTGACATCAGGCATTCATTTGAGTTACAGACCCTGAAGTTCTCTTTTAAGGATGGACGCTTCATTGAGCACATTTTAATAGAGATAGTAAAGTAACTGACATAGAAAGAGAGCAGCGGTCACCCTTTGCATACCAGCCCAAGGATGAAGAAGTCACCTCAGAGAGGAAACCCTGACTTTGAGGCCCTGCTCCAATAAAAGACCACTAACTATGTGGCTCTTAAATCCCAGGACAGGGCCGTGTCCATGAAACCACAGAAAACAGGGGAAGAAGTTGTCAAGGGGAGGATGGAAAGACACTGCCTTCCTCCTCTGCCCACTTCTGGTGAAGGTATCCAGAAATTCAAGGGTCACGGTGCCTGAAGGAACACAGGCAGAAGGGAACGTGACTTCAGCTTAACAGTGAAAGCATTTGGCACTGGGGGAGCAAACCTGCATTCTGGTCTTTGCACAATGGCGTTAGGCCTTCCTGAAGGCAGAGTGGGTTGAATGAGCTGTGACTCCTTACATCCACACTCTTGGTTGGTTCTGGTGGTACTTTACACATTTGCATAACCCAAATGTGCTTATACTTCCCAATCCTCTTTTCTGTATTTCAATCCTGTCTACACTTCTAGACAAATAGAAACAAGTGCTTCTCCGTGACTCTACCTTGTCTCTGGCATTAACGAATGAAAGAGTACTAAAGTTCACAAGACGCCATGGCTACAGCCATTTGTGCTCACTGCCTTTAGAGGCTGGGCTCAAATTTATGCCCACTCTCCCTCTTTACCCTCTCCCCTGGCAGGAGTTTCCCTGCAACACAATCACGTCACAAGGTGAGCTGCCAGGTCCTCAACGTGGATATCGGGCTTTAGACCCCATGGCAGACAGGAAACCAGGGAAGCTGGGCAGAACGGCAGCACGCACGATTATTCACCTGGACCGCCTGAACCCCGACAGGCCGGAGCGGGAAGCTTCATCGATGAGCGGTGTTACAATCTTCTCGGTCATGTCAGTCAGCACAGTAAAAGTGGGTTCCACAATGAAATCGATGAAACCTGAGCACAAACACAGATAGAGCCAAGTACGTGAGAGAAGGATTTATGCGGAGTCTCTGCTTCAGGGATCACAGACAACGTCACAGTAAAAGACAGAGAGTAAAGAAATTACACAGTGGAAAAAGAGATCAGCAAATGCTACAAAGGGAGAACAGAGTTGTATGTTAATCCCTGACCCAAGAGCCCGACAGCTGGATTTAGCGCGCAATAAAAGGCACCTCCTTAAACATTGAAAAGAAACTAGCAAATCAGAGCATAAACAGATGCATCAGAACTTGTTTTATATGAGAGTGGTATTTAAGCCAAATTCCTAGCGGATTTGGATAAAACCCAGTTTCAAAGATGATATCTCTGAAAGCAGAAAATTAATATAACAGCAATAATACTGGTAAGCTTTGCCGGTGTAGAGTTACATGAACACCTCCCTTACCGCATATCAGTGGGTTACTGTGAGTATTCTCTTTGGAACGCTCGCCCAGCTTGTTCTTGTTGATAATAAAACAGATTTAGATGCTTTTTTTTTTTTTCATTTTGACCATAAGGAGTGAACGGAAAAAAAATACAGGGCCAAATCATTCCTACTTTAGTATTCAAGTCAGCAGAGATGAATACAGCTCTGATCTGAACGCTGGGAAGAGGAGACTGGAGATCCCTGTAGCCATAAACTCATGTGCTGGAGCAACGTGCAAGTTGCACAGAGAAATTCTGAGAGTGAGGGGCTTACAGGACTCTAAAACCTTCCTTTAAATCTTCACCTGGGGCAAGGGCTGCTCCCTGTGCTTGACTTGGCACTTCACTCACTCAGTAAATTGCTTGCTGCTGGAGGTACACAAGAAAGCGGTGATGCCCTTGATCCCTCCTATGGCACATACCAGTTCAAGTCTTTCAGTTCTAGACCTTTAATTTGCAGTAGGATATTGGGTGTTTGGTGGCCAATGATGTGTAAGGACATATAGCATGCTCATTTCACTCTACACTAAATGCCTGTTGCAAAGTTGTCCGTGATGGCAGAGAAAATAGTCACGGCTTCCAGTCCTGTGTTACCTCTAGGGCCTACAGCACTGATTTTAGCTCTTCTGCCATGCATAGCTATGAAGCATCCACTGGATTATCAAATAATCTTAATGCCACCCCATTGTGCCATCACAGAATCACCACAGGAGGAGTAAGACAGCTCAGAGTCTGCAGCTGCTACATAGATTTTTAATGACACATTTGTTCTTTATTTGAATCTCCCTATGATGCCCATATAGGGCTGAATGAGGGCTGTCAGAATATTCCCCTGTAATTCACACAAACTATAGATTCTGCAGTTCCTTCTTCATGACTGCAGTACAAAATGCTCTTCTCTATATGGCTACCATACAATTTCAAGCTTGCCTCCAATTCAGCATTGGGGTCTGGCTGAGAATATTCCATGAAGATAACATTAAAAAAAAAAAAAAGGCTCTAAGAATATTACCAAACCACGTGTTTAAATATTTGGTCATTATCAACTGTTGGAATTATACAATCATACCATTACAAATTTCTGTGGCTGGCTTATGGAATACTCCTATGACAGAGCATGGTGATTCTGGTTGATAATGGAACAAAAGGAGAACAGATTACACTGGCCAAGCATCTGAATTTATAGGTTTTGATTCACATCTAGAGTGCAAAGCAGCTGAACATGCTTCTAGTTCCATTTCCCTCTATTTCTCCTAATTCCCCTACTTCTTGCTAAATTTCTAAAAGAGGGGTATTTAAGCATATTTTCATGCCTAGCCTAATTAAAAACATTACTTGCAAGCTCCCAGATACCCATTCTAATATTCTGTAAATCTGGAGAAAATAGGCAGTACAGAACCTTTCACTCTTATCTGAACACCTGAACATGTGCCAGGGTGACACTGAGACAGTTTTATCTAATCAAATTTAGGGAAAAAAAGAATTCCCTTCCTCCCAGGCAATTAATCAGAAATGTATGTAGTATAAGGTCATGACAAGAAACTGTGTGCTGGATCACAACCCAGATAATCCCATCAAAGTTTATATAACTTTTAAAACACTGGAAAATGCATTGACTGAGAAGAGTGTTACACGTGCCGCAGGAACTCTGAAGCAGTCAGGCACACATGCGCGCACACACGCACGTGTAATTGATGCTCTCGGGACCCTCAGAGTTCCAGAATTCAGATTTGGCTTCTTTGATAATCAAGGGGTTAAAAAAAAAAAATTGCAGAGGGAAGGAGAATAGAAGCCAAAGCCACAATACTTTGTGCCTTACACCTGACAAGTAATAGTACTGCCATTTGTTCCATCAACAACAACAAAACTGAGATGCACAAATCTCTGATTTCATAGATGTGAATTTTTCTTTGGTAAGACCGAAGTAAGGGTGGTGAAATTATTTCTCTACTGAAGGAAAGCGTATGTGCTACTTTCTCCTCTATTTCCTATAATCTGAATAAGTTATTCAGTTCTATTACCTTAAATGGGGATTACAATAAAGTTAGGAAACACAGTCTGTTACAAAAGAAACAAAATTTAGGACTTTACTAATAATTATGTGACTTAAGCCATATTCCCAAGCCCACCCAATAGTCTCGTCTTACCTAAAGACACAGTGACTTCAATACTGTAATTCAGTTTGGTAACGAAAAAAACCTGAACATCAAATAATGAGCTCAATAATACAGTACTTAAAGCCTACTGATGCTAACCAGTTTATCATTCTTTTTCTTGTTCAATAGCACAAGCACGGTAAATATTTCTGTACTGCAGTCACCAGGATGATTTTACCAATTACTGCTGCGCTCTGAGATAGGGGATTCCAGGCACCTACCTAGACTTTATTTTCATTGCAGCCTAAGAACATCACCATGATGACCAGTGGTTAGAGAACAGTTTCCCTAGAGCCCACCACAAAAAATCACGAGCATTCACTCAGCCTTTATCCGATGTTTTCTGAAGCTGTAATATACTGTCTTGCCAGCCAAAGGACAAAAATAAAAGGATGTTGCTACACTTATCAGCTGCAAGAAAGGACGATAACAATAGAGACCGATCTCCAGTCAGACGAGTCCTACAGTCTGAGGCAGACAGAGAAGCTTTTAACTCTTCTAATACTCCCGTTGCGAAATACAAGTCTTAGCCCAGTCTTCACTGCAATTTGCTTGTCTCCCCCCACTTTGATTAGAAGCCTGACTTTCAGACATGAATCTCGTCTGATGGAGCTTATTTTGAGCACTTTCTTTACAAACTGAAATGGCAGGAAAGAGATGGTCTTTCTTTGAGCAAATTTTTGCTGCTAGAGTGCTTCATTTCCATGGAGAAAGTCCATACTGCAAGGTCTTCAGTCTGCGTTTCTGAGAACCTTTCATCAATAAAAATGTTTGTCCGCTGTGTTTGTTGCATCTGCACTGACCTTAGAGCAACTAAACAGAGACTACAAACAAGCCAAGCCACCAGAACAGAATTTCTAGGCTTCATCCCTGACAGAACCAAGAGAATAATTTTATCTAGAAATGACAGATTCTTTGTATTTGTGTAAACCGATGGCTGCTTGCGGCAGATATTAGCACAATTTGGAATTCATGAGGTACTTTCTTCTCCAAAGAAGTGCAGTGATTCCAAGGAACTACTCATTAAAGCTACTAATCAGATGAATGAATGAACAGAAACAGAGTTATTTCTCTGAGAATCTAGCCTAGAACTTTGAAAGCCTTACCTCAAGTACATAGGCAGAAAATATAAGAGGTTTTGATTTAATAAAGCAGGTGTTATACAAAGACACTGCCAACATGCGCAGCAGACCGAGAAAGGAAAATTTTATAATATTAGAAGGTAAGATTTATAAAGTGGCCTATTAATGTCGATGGATTACTAAACTGCACAAATTAGACATAATGACAAGTAGTATATAACTAAATAAGGCTGCCTTTGTATACTGATGGAGTGCCTCTTTTATAACGTGTAATTGTGTTGGTGATGGTTTAATTCATCGTTAATTTTGCAGTGGCTTGGCAACAGATATCAGTGCAGAAGTTTCTTGGCTCTCCTGGCCTTCCTGAGCAAAGGAACATTAAAAAAAAAAAAAGAGAACAAGGCAAATTGCTTTTCCAAACACACTGCTATCCTACGCTGGAGCTCAGAGGGGCCGTTTGGGAAGCACAGCTCCTCTTTGCTCTAAGGAGAGAGGGATATGTCTGAAAACACCTCCAAGGAATGCAAAAAAAGATGTCTCTACATGTCCTTCCCTCCACACCAGCCAGGGAAACAGGAGGCATATTCTGGCTAGGAGTCCTCGGTATGAGTTTCAGCTGAGACTGTAGCTCTTAAAGTTCGCTGCTTCTTCCCTCCACCAAGGTGCTGACAGAGCACAAACGTCCTCAGCAGTTATGTCATGCTCTGCACGCATACCCCCTTTTCTGAGTTACTGTTACAGAAAGGTAAATGCTATGAGTTTGGCAACCAGGCCAGGACTGCTTAGGGCTTTTCAAGTTCAGATTCTTGGCTGAGCTGTCTAAACCTCCAAAGCCAGGAAAGTCTGGGATGGAGCCCCCTCAGAGGATGGCTCGTCTGATGAGAACAATGAAGTAATTTTGAACAGAAATGGCTCTGAGCCACAGATGTGAATCTGAACTTTCCTAAGCTCAAGATATCTTTACCTTGTTCTTTGGCCAGCCCTTCACAGCTCGGAAGACAGCTGAGAAACTTCATACTTCCAATTCTTTGTTTGTTTTTTCCTTTAAGACATTTTAATCACTGTTTCTTTAAAACTGGACTCAGCTCCCTCATTTCTAAGGTCAGCGTTTTTTCTTGTGTTTTTTCCATTTGGCATCCTATTCTCCAGTAGAAGTTAGAACATGATCATTCACTCTCTTTTTTGCTTGCTTCCTAGGTATAAAAATCCACCCACAAATCCGATTTTTTAGATGTCTCTTCTTGCTCTCAGCCTCCTGAATCGCTCTCAGCCTCCTGAACAGGTCTAGCTTACTTAGCCCCTCTTGCTTTCTCCCATGTCTTGTTGCCTCTTCCATGTCTTAATTTTTCACTCCGTAGTGGGAGGAGAGGTAGAGAAAGTGCTATGGATGAGCCTGTAAAAAGTCTCCTCTGCTTCTGAAAGGAGGGAGCAGAAAAAAATTGATATTAGCTTAACTTTGGTAGAAAACATCGTTTGGCTTGAAGCACTTGGTGGGGGGTAAATATATGAAGAAAACAATTTTCTGCTCTGGTTTTCCAAATGACTGACATTAGGGTTCCATATCCACCAGTGATATTCATATCACAAAATGCTGCCACACGCACCTCATCTTCCCAGCTCAGAAAACTGAAGTGCTGGCGTCATAACTATGCAAAGTGGTTGGCTCTGCAGTCACATTAGAGGTAACTTGGTTATCCTGTGGAGCTACTCCCATAAATTTAATGGCTCCTCAACTCTGAATTGCTGATCTGGAGAAAATAGCGCCATTGCACGTTATTTTCCTTTTATAACCTAATGATGAGAGACTACTGTGATCTTAGTCCCACAGGAGGAATACTTTTTGCTTTTAAGATGCTACTTTGAAAGCACCAAAAGGGACATACCTATTTGAGACTGAGCAACCATGGTAGACTTGCGGTCACACAGTGGAGAAAAGGGAAGCCCTAGTTCTGCTTCTTTGTCACCCTGGGGAAACAAAATTGAGAAAAGGTTAGAAAAAGACAAGACCCACTGCACCTCCGTGATATTTTAGGTGAGGACTGTCAAAGCCTCCCATTTTACTTTCTTCAATAAAGTTCGTAACTTTTTTTTAAACATAAATTATCTGTAGAGAATTTGAGACTGGTTGGCAATGTTGTAATCCAAAGAGAAGTTCGTGAGTCAAGTCAATCTCGATTCCAATGAATTTTTCCTCAGAGTTTTTCCTGGCTGCTTGGCGTTTCTATGCATCAACTGAAAACACCTCTAGAGTGCAAGAAACATTTCCCTGAGCAGCTCTCCAGAGAACCCATAAGAACTCAGTTCTCAGAGATGAGAGTTAGAGTTCTCTAACCTTTCAAGAGAAAATGTAAGTGTCAGGACTCACCCTTCAGCATTTAAGCTTGTTCGCATGTCCTCCTTACTGTTTCAGATAAGGAATTCACTAGTCATGGCTGGCCAAACGCAGTTTACTCCCATCCACCCCTCGCCAAGGAAAAAAGACATTCTCAACATTTAAATAAGTGCTTAAGAGCAAAAATCCAAACCCTCTTTCCAGGTTTCAAAACAGTAAGTCCAGTTCTAGCACTCCATGGCAGAAGCATCCCTTGGCAGAAGACCAAGTGTTATAACCCCATCTTTGCCAGTCTTTCAAGCTGCATATTCTCAAAATGCCCTTTAACTTGATTCAGTCTCTCTAAAACAGATTACACTGAGAAGATATATGGAATGACATAGTTTCAATATTCCCTGCTGAGCATTCAAATTTAAATAGCCTGTTACTATAGAATCAATGCCTTAAATCAGCAGCTCAGCTCACTTTAAATGTGTTGAACTTTGTGCCACTGTTCCAAACGATGTCAAATTGAAGCTAAAACAGCTGTCAAACTAACCAGAAAAAAACTTCTGTAGGCACAGGAATGGCTAAACTTTTCTTTTTTGTATTAATAGAACATAAATGAAAAGGTGGGCATAAGTCCTGTTAGATTTTGGATGGAACAACAAACAATAGTATTCTTCTTCTATTGCAGCACAATTCTGCTTTACATCAGGAATCTGACGTACAAATCTCAGGGTAAACCAGAAACCAAACACAGAAGCATTTCCAAGTAATGTTCCATTACTACGTCTGCTGCATCTCTCAGAAAAAGCATCTCTCAATGCCAGCTCTTACCTAATCATCATTCTTCTGTTACTCCAGGTGCCTCTTAAAAACCCCAGGGCCTAAATCTCTTTCAGAAGGAGCCCCTAACCACCCTCCTGACTCGGATAGGTATCTGACGTCTAAGCTACTTGGCAGCTTCCTTACGGCCGGCAAAAGTGCATTAGTAAAACTAATTCATGCAAGATGTTTGCTTTAACAGATACTCACCATAGCTGCCAAAGGTCAAAAAATTAGTATTGTATTTAGGAGCACCATTCACACCTACAGCATAGTTGCTTAGTGTAAGAAAACCATATTTCACTCCGCAAAATATTTAGAAAACAATATAGCTGGGGACTTGTACTGATACAGGTTAAGTCAGGCGTTCTACCTCCGTAGAGCACGTAACAGAAAGGATGGGAGAGGGTCTATGGGTAAAGACCACAAGGAAGTGAACATCTCAGCTGAGGCCAGATCAGCTTCTTATCCCCACGGTCACCTCTGGCTAGTGCCACTTCTCAGCTTGTGCACACAGAAGACTGTGTTGCACTACTGCTGTCACATATGGGTTTATTTATTGATCTAATATTAAATAACTTCAATGAACTCAAGTCTACACTTCACGGTAAGCTTGTGCTTAAGTACTTTCCTGAAGATGAAATTTGTACTGCCTGAGTACAAATACTCAGTACTGTACTGTACAGTCTGAGATTTAACTAGAACACAAGTTTTACACAAACTTTATCTAAAAATGGAAGTATTTTAATTCAAAAATAAAGTAGGATTTGTCAGCTGAAATTAATTATCCTCATGAAAACTTAAAATTATAATTTTGTCATCATTATACTTGTAAAACAGACCAAACTTGTTTTTTTTAATATTCTCGTGTCTTGTCAGTCTTAAATCCTTCACCAATCCTCACTCGACAGTGGTGTATTTCATTAGATGTAGTATCCTTCTGAACTGGGAAACTATAAATATGCTCAGTGGCAGAGTTTCCCCTAAAATATATGTGAAAATCACCCTCATTACATAAGCCTCCTGTGTGGCAAAACAGAGACAATTGCAGCTATGATTCATCTTCTTCCACTTAGTAAATCCATTTTTGGTTTGAAAAACAAATTAAAGAATTCACTTCTAAGCAAAGTTTTGCAATGTCCTCATTAAGAAGAGATTCCCATAATGCCTTTAAAAACTGGTATCATTTTAAAGTTTTGTTTAAACTTTCTTAAATTGTCTTTTTTTTTTCTTTTTTGCATTCAGCTTTACTACAAAACATGAAGTTATTGAACTTTAGAGGGAAATTAAGTAATTAGTTTTCTGCTTAGTTTAGTAATTCATATTGGTGGAAAGTATCACATACACTCCTAAGTGCTCTGTTTACTTTTACTTTTTTTTTTTTTTTTTTTAAAGACAGCTCTTTAAATGCTTTTAATTAGTCAGCTGTGGGAGCTTATAGTTATCACACCGAGCTTAACGATTTGTCTAGATTTGTGGGTCTGTCAACAGAAGGCCCACTGTGAACTATAAAGTAAATTAGTTCACTTCATCTAAAGTAAGGGTAATGCGTTTTTCTCATTTACCCCAACAATATACTTACAGCTCTCAAGTATAGCTATCTGAACCCGTTTTCTATGATTCTACAACTAAGCACAATGTCAAATACGGATTTTTTTGATCATTAGAAACACAAACTGAACCTATAAGAGTAATTGGCCCAGTGTAGCTTCCCAAATCAGAATTTTTACTACACACGTAATGCCTGTATCTACAGGCATGTTCCCAAGAGACGTAATAAGCAGCGCCACAGGTGTCAGATGAGAAAGCTTCATATCAATTAGAATGTTCTTTGGAAAAATCAGAGGAAAAAAAAAAAGATGTGCCCATATTTTCCTACTTCCTTGCCCAGTTCTACACACTCCATCTGTGCTGCAGAAATGCAGAGGAACTTCCTCAGCTCTACCTGTCTGAAGAACTCCTCCAGTAGAGACATGGTCCAGCGATGATGGAGGTCCCAGGCCTTGGCTGGATGACTGATATCTGCTGTATGCAACAACAGTGATAAGGCTTTCGGCTTGTCAATTCTGAAAACCCAAAGGATCAAACAAGTTAATTGTCTGCTCTTGTCCTGGAGAATGACAAAAATGTCACCTAAACAGGGAAATTAGCCTGTTAGAATCTTTGGCAAGAATATTAATTGACAGAGCGTTCACAAAAGTGACAAGTATGAAAGATTAAGTGTCTAACTTCTCCCAGATATACTATTCCCATTATAACCGAGACATCAAGTGCAAAGAGAAACTGGTGCTAGCCTTGCTGAGTTCCTTTCCTGGGTTGCTTGTCTGTACAAGCATGTTTGAGGAGTCGCAGCATTCCCCATTCCAGCTGGGCTATTTTTATGTAACTCAGAAGAGGATTTAGTCCCTACTGTCTTAGTGTAGTAAACAGTTAGGATCCGATTTTACTGACACTCCTGAGCCTACACAGTAAGCGGTAAATGCAGCATGTTCCACTGATAGAGCACTAGCGTGAGGTCGGAAGAGGAACCTTGCACTTGGTTCTACAGAACAAAAAACCTGGCAATTTTTAAAAACTATAAATTGAGGGGCTAGCCCAAGAACCCAGTACATATTGCTTTTGTCGGAGAGGTGGGTTCAGTTTTAAATTCCAGCTTTTGATTGCCTGAAATAGCTGGAAGAGTTGTAGCTCCTGAGAGGATAGACTGGCTAGCTGCACTCTGGTCTGAGTAAAATCCTAGCAGGCTCTAGGTAGGACTGCATCTGGGGTGAAAAACTGACCCTCACTCAGAGCTTTCTGCAGTGTAGATTTTCTTGGCGAGGGGAAGGGTTGTGGTTAAGATATTCCAGCTTCCAAGGCCTTACTTGGGTGGGGGGGGGAGGAGGCCTTCTCCCCATTGCTCCATCTGTTGTTTTACAAGTCCTTCCCCCAGTGCGTCTCAGATTGTTTTTGTCTTTCCTGTGATCGTGGAGCAGGCCCCTTGCAACGGTGGCAGCTGCTATCATCTGCAGAAGGGTGATGCAGAAGTTCTACAGATCTTATAGCCTTGAGTTATAATCAAGCTGTAGAGGTCACTCCATTCAGCTGGATCATGTCCTTGATACTACCTCAATATGCCAAAGGAAACGACCAGGGATGCTTATCCCAACACTGTGACCTTTGCAAAGCTTTGGTCCATCAGCACAGACTAGAGATTTTGGTGTGTGTGTGTGGGGAGGGGAGTCAGTCCACTTCTAAGCAAACTCATTCAAAATGCAAGAACAGAAATAGAATTGATGTGGGTATCAAAAGAGTGAGGGCCTTTGGAGAGGTACTTTTGAAGTCAAACACAGTGGCAATGTACCAGCTGAAACACAACCCCTCTCTGCACAGTATCAGGAAGTGACTCACCCTTCTGGCTGCTGCAAAGCATTCTTCATGGCTTTGATTTGCTGGAAGTGACAGGACATATCAGTGGCCAACACCATCTCAATCACCAGGGCCCTGAATTCCCTTTTGGATGGCATCATGATGAGAGGAGCAAGGGAAAACAAAAAAGAACAACAAAATCAGACACACTCCAGTTTCTTTTGCGTCTATCTGTAAACTACTGACAGCACTTCTGCCTTGTATGCCATTCTTTACGTTATCCCTCTTTCAGATAGGGGGAGAAAAACGAATGATTTTCTACAAGCACAAGAGTGAGAAGGCTGTGAATTAAGTCAGGGGGCTAATCCTCGCTAAGAGGAATCCTAGATGTTTATGAAGAGCCCACTGCTATACTCCTCCTTTAATTAATCACAAAACTCTTGAACTGATTTCTCCTATAAGACATTCTTAGAAGTTAGCAAAAAGACTGTTAAAGGCCTGGACATGAGGCATGTGAACTTTGAAACATGAATCTCTGCCAAAATGACTAAAACTAAATGTTTTGCAAACAGGCTGATACCTATGTTGAAAGTTTACTCCTATTATTAAAGGAAAAACAACATATTAAAAAGTTTTTCTGCTATACATAATATATGCATTGTTTGCTTTTGTTTGTAAAACATGTAGAGATGTTACCTTATCACCATGAATCAATAACCCTTTTCTATAACAGGAATTAAATTATCACCTCTAACCTAGTCACATTTTAGTTTTTACATTACTATTGATCCTAATCAACTTACCCATGCTTTAGCGTACCTGTATTATTTGCTGGGTATTACTCAGGGTTACCTGTAGGAATTTTCTTTTAAGCATACTTAGTAAGGATCTGGTTTAAAACCCTTTGAAGACAGCGTGGATGTCTTAGAACTTTTACGATATCAAAACTCTCAGTTCTAGCATACAATACAGATTTATTCTCCCTTTCTGTCAGTTCAGCTATCCACAGGTTGGAGCTGTATTAGAGGAAGAACAGGCCAAGGTTACGGTACCAGCCTGGAATTTGGAAGATTCAAAAACAGGCTATTTGTCATTTAAAAATAAAAGCCTGCTATTCTTTCATGAATCTTTCATGAAGATATAGTCTGAGTATGTCTCCGTTGCCTCTGGTGGCTGTGTTCAAGTTCCAGCCCAGAATCTCTGTTGCATGGAGACCCCAGACTGCTGTGCTCACCCAGGCTGGTATGTAACTGAGGTCACCCCCAGCAGTCCTGCACACACGTTACGACGGCATCAGCTGGCCTTGCTCCCTGCCTGTCACACCCACCTTCTTAATCCCACCCTTACGTACAACCATGTTCACAGCCAGGCAGCATTCAAGCAAATGACATAGCTTCAAACCAACTTGCTTTACATTTGGGTTTTTTTTGGTTGGTTTGTTCGTTTTGCCAGTCCTAGGTCAGTTCGCTGGTCTGGTTCATTTCCCAGTGGCACAAACCCTGCCTTGTCAACTCTGCCAAGAGGAGGCATGACAGGAAAATCTGCTTCTTTTAGCAGCCGTGCCCTGAAAGTGCATCTGACAGTACTCATGGAACAAGGACCTCTAGTCCCACAACCGGAAAGCCTGTGGGCTCACCCCAAACCAGAGACAAAGTGAAAGCCAATCACTTTGGTTGAATCTGGGCTGAAATGCAAGCGTGAGCCCAGAGCAAACACAACCTAGAGTACACCACCAAAATAACCATTGAGTCTTTCAGCACATGGGACACTGACACACCCCCACTGAACACACATGTTTACAAAGTCTGTTCTTTCCTACAAGGTTGTCAGAGATTTCTGTGTTCCAGAAGACCTTGGAAATGTTTTAAATATTGTATTTTTGAAAGCAGTCTGAGAAACGAGGAGCACATTTACTACAATCAAGCTGGCTAAAAGGCCAGTCTTAGTACAACACTCAAAGTTTTGTGACAACAAAAGTGCAGTCACACAAAAGCGGTCACTATATCATGGCTCTCCCAGGGATTTCTTGCTGCAAAAGGGCTACTTCAACTTGGGGATGGGTTTTCTTGCAGGTTCCCTCAAAGGAAGGTCCCTTGTGGACCCCCAAACCTATTTTCTAAATCTGGCTGTACTGCTCACCTGACAAATTATGGATTTGAGGACGTCTCATTACATTTTCAGATGTTTTGTCTTGCAGTAGAGCGTACGTTTCCCTGAGGCCAGAAGCCAGGGATACACCATATTCTTACACCTATAACCTACCATTCAGAAGTTACCAAATTTGAAAATAAAGTCTAAGATGATTATAATAACGTACGCTATGGCCAATGTCACAGTTTTGGTTTTTTGTATTTTAACCAATACCCTGCAAATTATTCTCATGAAAATATGGTATCTGACACAGTCCCACGAGCAAGTAGAACAAGAATTTTATGGCATTTTACTACCAATGGCCAAGAAAAACTGTAGCTGACTTTACATCTAAATACTTCCAAACCTTGCATTGGTCTGTCCAGCAAATATCTTCATTTGCTCTTTAGAATAATTACTTCATGACTTTACCTTTCTTGCCTCATGGAACATTATATCACTTTGTTGGATGTAGTTGTCCTCTGTATCACTGCTCACCTCGGTGCTGTATCCTAGTGAAGGACTCATGTTCCCATGAACTCATGAGAAATGGACAGGAAAAGGTTATTTTAGATCATCTAATCCATACACTAGGAACCAACAGTGAGATATCCTGCAGTAAGCTATTTTGCCCATTTTGCCCAGCTGAGGTTTCAATTCTTTATCCTCCTGGAAACTAATAGATGAAGAATGCTGCCTCCAAGGAAATATTTTTGATGACTGATACTCACTGAAGGGCATAACACTCAGATAATGTATGCGCCCATCCTGGATTATACAGCCATGCATCTGTTATCCTGTACAAATGAAGGCTCTGAGCAAAGCTGTCTTCAGCCAATACTATTCAAGGTTTGTCTCTGCAGTCTCCAAAGGAATAACACCGATTGAGACGGAGTGCTCAGAATTATCTGAAGGACCAAACCCCAAGCAGCTTTACTGACAAATTCAGGATTGCTTTAGAGGTTACTTTCCAAAGCTGTATTCTGATATAGAGCTAAGGAGCTAAACATTTTCCAGATGCCTTTTTAATCCTGCACTTGACAGCAAAGGCTTTGTGCTAAATATGCTGTTTCAGTAAACTGCATGGAAATTATTGACAATGAAATACAGTGCTAGAAATGACATCTATAACAGTATCTTGGAAAGCATCTGTTCACTTTGCAGTTTATTTTTGTAATTCAGTGTGATCTGTTTTTGTTATAACTTCTTCATTTACTTGTTGATGACTTGTGCAAATAGGATTCATCAAATGAGGCAACTCAATTGATTTTCAAATATTTAATAAGCAGCAGAGGTTCTTAAAACAGAGAAGAAAATATAGTTTAAACACAAGCAAGCCTTCATCCCTTTTCTCCCCAACTATAACTCAAAAGACATCTTTCAGGCTCATCAGCTTACCCTACAAAACCTGTGCCCGTCTACTTTCCCACAGTAAAATCCAGCCCATATTTTCCACGTTTCTTTCCCGAAAATACATTCCCTAACTAGACGACTGAATATCACAAAACTGATAAAATCCACATGTACATCTAGGACTGAGAAATGTCCTGATCTCCAGGTTTTCTCTTACTAATAACATCAGATGTTAATGGGCCCTCAGCTCAAAAAGAAGAACACTTAAGAATATGCTTTCCAAAAACCAGCCGCTGGGCCTTTTGCTGAAAGAGATCTATCAGGTATGTCTACAAAAATAAAGTTGCATTTAGACACATTTAAATAGTTTCTAAAAGCATCATTTGATACAGAGGGTGTTGTTTTTGAGTGCAAATCTGAGAAACTTTGGGACTTCTTGTTTTTTTCTCAACACCTTAGAGCCTGCTGAAGTCAGCTGATGTTTCCAGTGCTTCCCAAATGTTCGCCGATGGGATTTCAAACTGGCAGTCAAAAGCAAAGGCACACAAAAATCACAGCATTTTGGCATTAGAACACATCCAGATAATGGCCTTTATTCTGCAGCTGCTGCTTGATCAGCAGCTACAAAATAATAAGGCCCTACTTGAGGGAGAACAAATAAGCAATGCAAACCACTCAATATTAGTTCAGGCAGTTACTGTATTTCTTAAAGGAGACCAGTTAATCCTTGGAACTTCAAAAGTAAGCATCTACCTCAGCAGAACGCACATTTTGACACTATGGAATTAACGAGAAACATCTGAAGCTAGTTTTTGACTCACGCAACAACAGCTTAAAGCCTCAAAGCAGACTATTTTCCTAAAGACAGAGCCTATGCAATGAAGCAGTCTCAAGCAGCTGCTCAGCTGTTCTTTGTTAAACTGTGCCTCTAAGGTTGCTGTTTCTAGTCAGTCAGTTCCTTGCATTTCCCCTGCCAACACAAAAGGAAGCAGTAAATTGCTGCCAATATTTGACAAGGCATTACCAACTGTAGCTTAAAAAACAAATTAGATTTTTAACACCTCAGTGCATGCTTTTTTTTTTTCCTTTAGGTTCCTGCTTGCTGCCCACCATGAACCTATTTTCCATATTGGGGGGTAGAATTTCTCAGGCCACTCCTCCACAACACTCCTACTGACTGCAACCAGCCACTTCAGATCCTGGGTTTTATTTCTGGCACCCATCTATAGCATCGTTTCACTGTCCACCCTGTTCAACAGTTGAAACACACAGGAAATTCAGGCCAAAGCGATTAGGAGGCAAAGCCTTCACTGACCAGCTTACCAGAAGCCAGGTCTCTGAGAAGGGCTCAGTTCCTCCACTTCCCATTAAAATAACAAGAACTGACTGCTCAGCATTGTGTCTCGTTTAAATGTATGCAGGAGGTTTCGCATGTTACATAAGATGGTACAAGATGCTTTCCCTCCCATGAGAAGGACTATGGAGCAGGATTCTTCCTGTCTAGCACAGTGGGTTATTTTTAAAGTACCGCCCCTTGGAGTTGAGAAAAACCCTCAGAAAAAGAAAGCCTCCAGCAGTTTGAATTATCTGCTATTAAAAAACAAATCATGGGATGATTCTTGCACATAAATCATATGCGTCATGAGGCTTACTTTGAATTACAGCTTCTTACATCACCTTGGGATATATATTACACTGATTAATAGCTCCTTGGACTTGAGTCTTACATTCATTCCCATTTATAGTTTTCAGGCAGGATAAAGGGGGTCTCAAAGTAGAGAAAGCGTATGCTTATGCTTTAGCATGAACAAACAGTCACTCACAAACTGATATGCGTACAAGGGCGTCTCTGAGACTTAGAAATTACATGGCAGTCCAACTGTATATTATAATTCACAGTCCCTGAGTTTAGTCTCATGACTGCAAGAGATGAAAAATGAAAGGCAGAAATAAGCAAGAGAAATACTTTTTAAAGTCCTGTCTTAGCAATAAGAATACTAACGTGCAATATACAGTAATGCATATTACCATTCAAACAAGGCAACAGCAATCTATGGTGATGCCACAAGGTTCCTTAGCAGCCACCATGTTTGTTTTTACCTCCAGTCATCCTTTGAAAGGTTGGATAAAATATTCATCTCTTCATCATCTTGCAAAAGACGATACGCTGCACTAACATGGTGATTTTCAAGCACAGACCGGTCATTATACAGAATGGCTGAATCTGACCTAGCATTTAAAAGGAAACACAGGAAATGTTATGTTTCTTCCCTGCCTACAGTCTCACATTCAGAAATTTTCCTTCCACCAGCTACAAAGATTAGTTCCTACAGCACAGATACTAGCATTTTATAAGCACTTGTAATACTTTGTTCACTGTTGCTATTCAGTAAAAGAAAACTTAAGATCAAAATTCACCATGAAATCTACCTCATCAGCTGAGATTCACCTAGTCTTTGTTACCTACTTCTCAAAAAAAAAGACACTGAGAGCTTTCTGACTCTGAGAGACATATAGATTTGAGGTTGAATCATGAGTTTCTTTTCCAGCTCTTGCATATATTATTCTCATACTGAAGCCTGACTGTGTCCGAGTAAGCAATGGCAAGATGTGTCCCAATACTGTTTCCAGAACAGCAAACCAGCTATAAACAAGATAACTGAACTGCCTCCTGTCATCTGTGCATTAGGCTATGCTATCCAGGAGGTCAACTGCCAGTGGGACAGAGTAAGACCAAAGGTACTTCACACCTCATTTTTAGCTCCCGGGCATGGATCCGAGAGGGCTGAATGGCTGAACTGGTCTGAAGATGAAGTGCTTGCTAGAAGTTAACGGCAACGCTGGGTGAGTGCAGCCTATTACAGTTCTTCTTCAGCTCTGCTTCCCAGAGAGCAGTGTATCTTTTTCTCCCCTGACATTTTACACCCTCTAATGTTACAGGAATGAAATTAGATCCCTAATTCTTGCATGCACGAAGCTGTAAGAATTACGAGCGTGCCTAGCCCTAGAACAGAGACAGAAATGCCTGTCACTGTTCCCAAGCCTTCCTGAGCATATATGTGATTTATCCTTATCAGCCTTTAGATAGCAGTGATACACAGCATGATTCAGCTAACGTATTTTAGACATCTAATTTAGCGTAAGACAAAATGCATCTTCAAAACGCCCTAGTCTGTCCATCGTCTTTTGGGGACATCTAGATGTTTTGTTATTGGTTGGCATCAAACAGATTCACGTTGTCAAAATAACACACAGGCATTTCGTGCCCAGTTATCACTGGAACAAGACACTTCACAGTCTTTGTATACACTCGAACACCGCCATCCTCTTCGTCTTTCTCTTCGTTCCAAAATAATGCCAATCCAGTCTAGTCTGTGACTAATTAACTACTCTCCAGCAATTTCCAAAGCTTTAAAAATTGACTGTGATATGAGCATGATAACTTATCACTGCGCAGCTAATTGTAACCATATTCCCTTGCGGTAGGTGTGGTAGTTCAAGAAGCAAAACGGTTTGTGTGTGCAGTGTTGGTATTCACTACTGCACAGAGATATTGAGGAATCAGGTGATTTATGCAGGTAAATGTTTGATTCTTAAAATTCAACCAGGAGAAATACTCTTGAACCAGAGTGTCTTCTCCAAAACTACACCGTCATTATTATAATCATTAGCAATTTGTCTTTGGTGAATTACATGTTTTGAGTCTCTCTCTTTTCCTGGTTATTAATACAAAACAGTGCTCAGGAAGTTAGAATGCCTGCATTCCATTGTAAATGGCTAAGCAAGAGAAAACTAAAAGCAGGATAAGCAAGTGAACTCTCCTCCTGTGACACTTGCAAGCAAAAGCTCCTGCACTTCTCTACAGCGGTGCTGCTGTTCTCCACAGGTTTTTCCCCTCCATTTCCCCTCCATGATTTCCCATCCCTTCTTAGTGATTTACAACAACCTCACCGTGTCTGGATGTGAAAGTTGTTGGTGGTTCCAGTGTGCTCATAGTCGTGGATGGCAGCGGCAAAGATCATAGCAAAGATCTCCAGCTCTGTCAGCCAGTGCTGAAAAGAGATTACAGAGCAATCAGATAAGCTGTCATTTTCCCAGGCATTAAGGCTTTTGTCTTTTAAGGCAAGCTATCCCCTGCTGACAGTCAACACTGCACATCATTGCCTTTTCCCTGCAGCCTGCCAGCTGTTCCAAAGCAAACTTCTCTTGCTGATACATGAAAGCTGAACCAGTGTTTTTGCTGAAGCTTCATCTAAATAAATTGAACTTCAGTAAAATGGTTTCAGGAGCTAATAAGGCTTGAGAAAGAGTGAGGGGTAACATTTGCCCTTCTTAGACAGCAAAGTGGGAGGAAGAGAGACAGAAGGAAACCTCAAGAAAATCAAGGTTCTTCAAGCAGAACTTGATGATACCTATGTAGGTATTACATACCACCAAGAATACATATTTTCAGCTCTGTTCACTTGGATAGCGCAGCCTCAAACACAGAAGAATTTCACTAATTTCCAGTAACTAGAAGAGTCTTTGTGAGTCACTGAATCATGAGGAGAATAGGGAACAGCCTCACAAGATGTACATCTTGTTATTTATTTATAATTTATAGAAACATTTGAGAAAGCCCTGAGGTCTTTTTTTTTTTTCCTAATTGCCTATCCAAAGTCTCATTTTTCAATGCTTAAGTCACTTTTGACTTAGACTTCTAAATGACTCAGATGCTTTTAATGATTTTTCTCTGAGTCAATCAATCAATTTATGCCTGTTTTTCCACTGGTAACATGCTAGGAGTGCTGTTAAGGTTAAGTGCATCAGAGACAAAGGCTCTAGATTCTGTAGATACTGTAAATACTTTTACATAATGCTCCTACATTTTGGAGGCAACCTTTATTGCAGTGGATGCCACACATTTTGGGTAACAGCACACTGTCCACCTGCAAGCATTTTCACAGACCTTCATGTATGAACTGCCTTTTAATTCAAAACCCAGTAAAGACAGCATAGTTTCATATATCCAGCCTAGGTGTTTACTGTAGCTTAGGGACACCACTGGTCTTTTAACCACCTGCAGGGGAACCAGCAGTACTTGTGCGGCTTTGCACACAGCAACCTATCCGGTTCTCTTCCTCCCTTCCACAGTAATTTCTGCAAATCACAGCAATCACAGTGCTTGTTTATCGCCTCGATGCCCCTTCTGCTGAGGTAGCCCCAAAACTCAAAGGTTGTGCAGCTTGAGAAGGAAGCAAACCTCAGCATTAAAAATCTCAGCATTAAAGATTTCAGTTTGAAGATACTCGCCACAGATATTTTTCTCAACGCCATTGATTACCAACAAGGTAGCTCTTGGCAAGAGATCAAGAAATGAGCAGATACAGAGACTAAACTATTTCCTCACTTTTACAGAATTTGTCCAGGGCAGGAACAGAGAGCACTTGTGGCAGACAAGTTTCTATTTCCAGGTGTGGCTTGCAAACAGGGAATGTTTTACAGCTGATGAAGAACATGATTTCAACATTCACGCAACAACCTTCTGGCAACTATAAGGGGGAAAAAACATGCATCAGCTACATACAGCACATCTGGACTTGAATTCCTCAGCCACGTTCTACCATTTGTCAAATGGAGACAGTGTAAAGGAGAGAAAAAAAAAAAATCAGGCCCAGCATCCAGGGACAGGCAGAGCAAATTGACATTACTTAGACATGCAGAACTACTACAAGACACATAGCCAGCAAGTCTAATGCAACCGCAATCGTCCTTCTGGGCATCAGCTGGTAAATCCCATGGCCAACAGGACATTATGACCAAAGCCTAAAACGGCACTGAGGCAGCAAGCTCTGGGCTTCAGGTCTCCCATGTCATCTCTTAGGACACCGCCTGGACATTTGGACACCCCATCAAGCATTCTTTGTTGAACAAGATCAGGGTAACGTAGGTATTGAAAGAGGGCAGAACACACGTGAGGAAAGGACTTAAGTAGCGCTACAGTATTTGAGAAAGATCACAGAGTACAGACTGGGATTACTGTTGTGAACTGTGAATGATCAGTTTAAATAACAGAGTTAAAATAGGCTTGTGAGTAATAGGAGGAAAAATAGCTGGTAAATGCTTGGAACCTTTCAGTCCCTTTTTCAGCTACAACCTTGCAAGAAAAAATAAACAAGACGGCAAACAGCCTGCAGAGAACGGATGCAATCTCCATCAAAGTGGTGACATCACCTTTCGCTAGTCTGTGATGGAGTTCATCTTGCAGAACAGAGAGCTAATTTTAAAGAACAAAGCCATTAGGAACAATTGAGAAAGCAGCAGGACACTATCGCAGAGGGAGAGAGCAAGGAAATGTGAATGATTTTTGTTTCTAAAGGGTTGACAAAAACAATCCAGAACAAACTCTTCAGAGATGATGGGGGGGACTGGGAGGAATGACATGAAATAGCAAGTATTGGCTTCCAAGCTGAGAACAAAAAGGGGTAATAAGGCATGGTTGTCCTTCAAAAACATATAACAAATATGAAGAACTAGCTACTAAGGCAAGTCATTGGCATGTGAACAAAAGGATCAACGCATATAGAAAGAAAAAGGAAAAGGAAGGACTAGATTTCCCAACTCTAACCAAATGAATTGAATGCATTTCCAGGAAAATACTACAAAGCAAAGACAGCAGTAATTAGCCTATTTCTTTCCCCACAGTTTACTGTCTTTTGTTCCAAAGTGGTTACAACTTTCAGAGACCACAGGCTCATGAAGCTCTGCTTATTAATCACAAAAGGCTAGGGGAGAGGAGGTACTCTCTCCCTGCCTTGGTATAAACAGATGTGACAGAAATCCTGCACTTCTGCAGTTTTATAGGTTTGCTGCATAAAAAAATTCTCTTGTAATTCTTGACAGTACCAGAGAAAGAACATCTAAGCTTTTCAGTTTGCACCTCATTGTGTGGGTTCAAAAAGAGATCATAAGGTAATTCCTAATAATTATCAAGATTAATTAGAAAATAATACCAAAGAAAATAATAATCACAGCTGAACAACAGAGTTAAATATGGGAAAGAAGAATTCAGTGAGCAAAAGCATGTCAGCCTTGGAAAGTGTCACTACATTTTGGGCTAATCCTCCAAAAGAAAAACATCAGAAAGAATTCCAAATTCTCCTTCTGTGTTACTTTTCTGAGAGAAAGCCAAATATTATATTTTAGATGGCTACATATTTCAAATTAATTCCCAGGAATCATCCTAAGGAAAAAAAAAAAAAGGAAAGATAACAAACTTGAGGGCATTGAATATGGTTAGAGGGAAGTAAGATTTTTTGAAAGGAAAATAGAAGAAAAAGACGACTGCCACAAAACTGTTGAGAGAGCTTGTAAATAACTGTCAACATGAGAGAGGCATGCAAAAGCTAGAAAGAGGATAAATCACATGATTCTGTTTCTTCTCCCCTTGACATTAGAGGAAATGACCACAAGGTAGAACATTTAAAATCGAAGAAGAAAGTAGTTTTTCACATTTCAGGTAATTAATTAACAATTTAAAAGTTGGGGGTCCTATTTTCTTTTATGATTTTTTTTAGAAGTCTCTGGCTCCATCCCAGTAAGGAATTCAACCAGAATTAAGCAAAATGCTCTACTGTGCTACATTAGATCCCAAACCTAATGACACACATCATCTGGCTGAGGGAACAACTAAGCAAAGGCCTCAACATGCTTTCTGAAACCAAAGTCTTGCTTTCCAGCATGTCCAGATTCCTTGCATATTGTGAAAGTGATGAACTGAACAGCAGTGAAAGTGATGAACTGAAAGTGATATTGTGAAAGTGATGAACTGAACAGCAGTGCACCCTACAGTAAAGGATAAGACACTGATTTGAACAAATTCTGGTAGCAGGAAAATGTTGTTCCCTGCCTTTCTTTACCAGATATGAATATACTACGCATATTTGAAGTCAGCCCTGTAGTGAGCGGGAGGTTGGGCCAGATGACCTCCAGGGCTCATTTTCAAGCAACATTAATCTATGCACGTTGAGATGGGCAGCACCCTGCAGAGAAGGGGAAAGAACTGAGAAAAGCTAGGGGGAGGAGGAGTAAAAAAAAGCATTTTAGCAAGGGAAGCAAAGCTTAAATGCCACTGTTGGCACACCGTACAGCGAGCCCCTTGCTCCTTTTAGCAAAAGAGTGCTTTTCTATTGTGCTACAGTAGATCCCAAACCAAATGCCACATGTAAGTTGGCTGTGGGAGCAATTACTGTTTAGGATTGTTCCTGGGAAACAGTAGACACTTCTCTCTGTCCTCTGGAGTGCAACTCCACATAATGGTCTGAATGGGACGCTTACTCTATGCGTAGCTTATTGTGACAACAGAAACGCAAAAGCAAAGGGCTCAGCTCAGGCGAATGACTCAGATTTCAGTGCCAGCATGTACATACGTTCACATGCACAGAAATCCTCGTTTCCCTTTATCAATGCAAACCTGGAACATACTTATTCTCTGGCCTCTGCCCATATTCTAGAATATTATTTCCCCTGAAATAGAGAGGAAAAATATTCCAGAGACCCTACAAAAGAAAGTATTTTACCACTGGCTATTCCTTTTGTATTTGTCACTTCAAACATCAAGCACCCCAACAGCAGGTGACTTTGAAAGAAGCACAGATGTAGATAATTGAAAGGACAGAGGTAAATTCATGAGAGAAAGAGAAAATCTCAGAAGACATACTCTAAAGGACAACGGGTTTCTGCAGTTGTTGCCAGGTTGAGATAAGACTGAAACACATTACAGAAAGAATTGAAGACAGATACTTATCTCTATCTTGGTTTTGCTTCTCAGTCAGATTGGAGTCTGAGATACAGCTGTTACTCTTGCTCTGGTCAACTTTTAGCACTTAAAAGCTTGAATACTTGTTTCTGAAATTGTCTTTACTGTCTACACAATACCTATAGTATAGTGGAACCCGTATGTTGTATAGCAGCCTCAGCTAAATAGTCCACAGAAACTGTTTGCAATAGGTGTTTCCACTGAGACGTTACTAGGTCATATTAAACACTGACAATAATGTTCAAAGGCCATGTCATGTTTAATGTTTTAACATGACATACCTTCAGAATGGTCTTTTAGCCTGAGCTAAACTCTTTATATTAGAGCATCACTGCGCATAAAAGCAGAGGAAAAGCAAGTCAACTAAAATAATTTAATCCCCTTTACCTTTAAGAAAATATATTTTTCATTCTCAAAGAAGAGAGAGGCTGCACTTTCTTTAAATGTCTACATATCGCTCTGAAACAGTGCACAAGTATTGCACTGAATACATATGCTTTATAAATATTATTATTGCCATATGGTGAAAAGGCAGGCAAACTCGGCTTTCACTTCCAGCATTAACAATGGGATTCTAAAGCCAGAGATCCCTCTGGTATTTCTGCAATATCTCCTTCTCCTCTATTCCCAATGATTCAAGCTCAGTCTTGTATTCAGGAAGGAGTAATTGGCGAAGCAATGTTATTTCACTCAAATGATAATTCTGCTGAGTGATTTCTAAATAACTTGACTCAATAAAAAATATCCAAGTCTTTGAAACACAAAACCTAAATCTGTACCCGAGAAAACAAGAAATAATGCAAGCTGATGAAAAAGGAAGGATTATACCTGTATGATATATCAGCTATATGAAGCTGATATAGGCAGGCACATTATTCTCCTCCCCTCCCCACTGAAATCTTTTGTATAAATGGTTGTTTTTCAGTCAAATCCTGCTCCCATCATCATTTCCTTAGGTAGGTCAGTGGCAGCTCATAGACACTGGTTCCACAGTAAAAAACTGGCCTATAATACTTACTTGGCTATTATTTCCTAAAAATTTATCATTCGGGGACAAAGAGAAAGCAGAGAAGTTATAAGAAAAAGCCTCCTTCATTTTTTTCCTCCAAAGCCTTTCTTCACACTCAGATAAAACACCCTTTTAATTCAACAACGTGAGCTTATGTCCAAGGCCGTTTAATGGAGTAAGCATACAGAAAGTTAAGTAAACCTTCTGAGATTTGACAGCACTATACATCAGTAAGTGTCAAGCTAGAGAATGAATGCCTTGTCCTAGACTGAATGAAATATAGGATTGATACTGAAATATAGCCAACCAGCATGTAGACAGCCAAGAATTTAAGTTGCTTGTTTATTAATATTTTGATCATAGATGTTCTGATCATTTTAATTTTTTGCCTGAAAACAATGAGTAGGTAATGAGAAGTCCAGTGATGTGAAAAAGGAAAGAGGGAAAGGAAATCATTATTATTATCATAATTGTTTTGCTGAGGGACTGTTCCTGTTTCTTTCCCTTGCCTTTTACCCTAAGGGCATACCTTACAGCTTTAGTATAATGCTGTTTTCAAATGCAAGTCAATAGCCTTGCAGGCACTTAGTTCTCAGCAGAATAACGTTTAAAGCAGTTAGAACTGGGCACTGAACAATTTATTGGCAAGTTAAACACATCCATACAAATAAACTGTGTATTATAAGATAGACGTACCAAAATATGAAGAAATCATCAAGATAACAGAAAATTACCACGCCCTTTTTCATGCATAGCTCAAGTTCACACCCTGCCCTAAAGGGGCACAAAAGCACTCTTAAAAATAAGGTGACTGAGAGTGTGAGGCAACAATGCTTCAACTAAGACTATTTTGGGGGTGACGAAAATCCATAAACAGTATCTCCCACTGGCTGCTTTAAAACATACTTTTGAGAGAGGAAGAGATATGAGAGCGCTTAAATAGGAGTTTTCTTTGCTGACGTGCACGGAAGCATCAACACACCTCTAGTTCACCAGATGGGCAAAAAAGCTTCACCTGCATGGCAGGAATCAATCATGAAATGGCAGCTTTGCTGAGAAAACTGTCTACGCAGAAAAAAATAACACTGTGAAATCCTGAGCTCATCTGGCTTTAACATCTGTAACCCCATAGCAAGTAGAGAGGCATATCATAGTAACAACACCTTCGCTTCTAATCAACACCACTATCTGTTTTGCTCCTGCTTGGAGCCATGGAGCAAACTGGCATTTATCTGGCACGGGCCACTAGAGCCCAGGATCTGCAGCAAACCAAGGAACACACTAAACTGACAGCATTGATGCACTTTAGTGACTCCATAGCAAGTTTGCTATGCACATATGCAAAAATGATGCTTTTTCTACCTGCCACATCATCTCTCTCCCTCTTGGAGAGAAAAAATCCCAAACTATGCTATCGCTCACTCATGTAATCAATGTCCTTCAAGTTCTCTCTTTGTTAACAAGAGAAGCCAAGCTCCAGGAGGGACAGAATAAAAAAAAAAAAAAAAAAAAACCAATTCAGCACTCAGGCAACATGAGCTAGAATAAAATAGCACTCATTCTTTCATAACTGAGTTGCAGCTAAAATGTTAACAGGTCAAGAAGTAGCAAAGTGGAAAAAGGCAATTCTGAACATACACAGACAGGAGCATTGCTGAACATGCTGAGCTGCTTTTATGCAGTCACTTCTCAGGGCAGAAAGGCCCCGAATAAAAAAGGTCCTTCTTAAACTGTTTGAGAAGAAGAAAGGGTGTAGTTTGCCCCCCATTATAATACAATTCACATTACTCAATAGTTTAATATTCTTAATGACTACAGTCTTCAGTGCATTTTTGTTAACCAATTCCTAGAAAAGCAGCAGTGACCAATTTGGGATCTCACATGGAGTTTAGATTACGCGTCCATATTAGTTGTAAATTTGAGCTAAATCCTAATTTACTTCAGACAAAATCAGGAGTAGCTGACAGAACTTAGGTCAGAATCAGGCAGTCTGGACCAGGTTTTTGGAGACCTATACAGTCTGATTCCTTTCCAATATAAATATTACCAGTAATGGGTGCAATCTACATTCAACTCAGGAGACAGGACATGTTCACAGGAGGCACTAGAACATGTTACTCCTGAGCGAAGAGCATTCAGTTTAGCTTCAGAATTGAGAGTAATACTACTGTGACGATAGGGGGTTGCAGAAAGGCAGCCCATGCAAACAAAACGTCATTCCTGAGCTTAAGCAAAGATACAGTTTTTGAAATTGGCCTAACAGACTTATCAAGAGTTGCACTACACTTTGTTAGCTTACGCTTTTCTGTCCTAGGCTCCATCACACAGCAAAGACTACCCTGCAGCGTTTATTTAGGTTTTTCATTGATTTGTGGAAAAAAAGGAGTCAACAAAGTCAAGTCAGAGACATCAGTATTACTAAGAGTGCTGATGGCTGCAAACTGTAATGGCAATGTCCTACAGCACACCTAAGATACTAACGCCACAGGAAACAATACTGGAAATTCTTTGGACAGTTACATGCAACCAGGAGTTTCCCTCATCATTTTCTTGATCAGCTCTCAGCAACAGAGCTTGACACAGTTGGTGAGTATTTAGTAAGGTATGAGCTGTGGTAAAAGCCTGAACTTTTGTTGATCTGGGTTCAAAACTGTGCACTGCATTGCAAAGAGTCCCTGCAGGGCCCAACTACAGGTGCTTACATTGGCTGCTTTTGAAAAGTTGTAAGTGAAGGTATTTCAGTAAAATAAACCCTAATACAAGAGAGTTGCAGTACCAGTCACGAATACAGCAACCAGTGAATGACCATGGTGTAACAACAGATAACATTGCAAAACGTTGAATATATTCACATCTCTTTTACCGGCATCTTTGCCTCTCTGTTTCTGCCAATGCAAGGGTCAAGGACAGATTATTTTCCTTGCAACAAAAGTGGATGATAGGTGGAAATGAACTACCATGCTGGATCAGATTAAGTTCATACTGGATCATTTAGTTCACTTTGCCGTCTTTGACAGTAGACAGGAGTAAAAAGATGGGAGAGAACGAGAAATACGCCCTGTACACAATGAGTATTGAGTATAATTTACTCTCCCCATTGAGTGGGTCAGAAACCTTCTGAGCCACCAGCTGAATCCAAACTGCAATGTTTAACAAGCACTGCAGAATCTATCTCCCTTTATTTTGTCTAATCCTTCTTCAAATGCATTTCTACTATTTGTCTCCACAGTCGCTATGGAAAGGCCCTGTGTCTTTTTGTTTAAGCACTCTATCCGTTCCTGTCAGCGAGTTTATGAGAAAGCTACGTCTTTTGGGTTACATCACACTTATAAGAACCTTGAGATACTATTTCTGCTTCAGGGGTGGAAAACAGAGGTACAAAGTAAATAAACGGAACAATCATTCCCCAGACTTCAGCTGTCTGCAGGTGCTCTATGTAAGCCAGCTCAGTTGGCTTTGCTGTAGACAGAGGATGGAGATCAGCATCTCCAGATGGTTCATGTCATCCTCAGATAAGTGGAATGAATTGCCCTCTGGAGGTACTGCCTTGCTCCACTAAGTAAGAAGAAAGCTTAGACATTTTGCTTCTAGGTGGATCACGTTAGGTTAAATGAACCCCAACAAAAATGATTGCCAGAATCACCCAGGAGAGTTGTGGCAGAGTGGAGAATCAAGCTTGGATTTCTCATGGTTAACTCCTTACCTTCTGGCTCATTCATGCTGTCTCACATCACTGTTAAAAAGTTATCAGTATCTTCACCCATCTTCTATTTCTAAATAATTTTCATTAGAACAGCCATATCAAATGAAGTTTGTCAACAGTGCAAATGGGTGCTACTGTGGATAATCATAATCTCCTCAGTGAGCAAAAACTGCTGTAATCCCATTATGCATTCAGGATGCCAACTCCTGTACTTACCGCTACGCCTGTCTTAAATAGGAGGTAATGGACCGTCTGTGTCACATCTGCAGCATGCATTAGGTTGTGATAAGGATTTTTGTGTTTGCTGTACCCAACCTCCAGAGCTTCCACAAAGGAGACCAGGGCAGAAATGGGGATCTAAGAAAAGCAGTACAAAGTTTAAAATGAAATAATTATCTTTAATTGCTAGCATTTTGAGAGGGAGACACCGTCCAAATATTGGAGAACCTAAAGAGCAGTTTGTATTTCAAACAAATAACATACTAAAACACCTTAAACAGACCCTCAAGAGACAGAGTGAATCAAGTTTACAAGTTTACTTCCTCAAACTGCCTTTCCATCCATAATTATGTTATGGATGAATCACTCCCACGCATAAACACGCACAAGTCAGTACACTACTAAATGTAGACTGGAAGACGCATGCAGTATGAAAAGTAACAGACAGCACTTGATTGATTGTCCCTGGAGAATTATTCTGCCTAGGTCACAAGTGTCTGTCTGTTCCCCTCACAACCCGCTGGTATATATATCACTACTTTACTACTCACATCCCAGATTTTTCAATGAAACATACCGCATAGCAAGTCTGAGATACTCTGTTAAGAGGAGTATCGTTTATCAGACCTCTGGCTTTTCACTGCCAAATCCAGCCTGCACACATAGTATGGGCTTGCCATGTGTTTTCTCCACTGTGCACACTGGAGAAAAAGAAATTTAGAGGATTTCTAGGGAGGAGGCTATGTAGGTGGTGTCAGCTGCATATATATATATGCAACTGGCAACATGTGTTCGCCAATGCTTATTTCATCTACTTAAACTGCAAATACCATAAATTCTCATACTTCTATAGCTAGAGTGGCACTGTTTTACTCTTGGATGTATCATGGGAGGGTGCAGTTCTGACCAGCTATCATCTCCGGATGTTTCTCATCACATACGGGCAGCTTCTGAATATGTACAGGCATCGGAGATATCTGCACACCCTTTCCAGCCAAAATGAGTGGGGAACCTCAAAGAGGAAAAGCACCAGTGGAGGAAGGGATAATGAAGTATTTGGGTGGGAACAATGAAAACGATCTTCTGAGAGCAATGTGTTCGTGACCCATATTTAAGCCTATCCAAAGCTGGAATAAAAGATACAAAGCATTTGGATCTGGAAACTTCTGTGTCAAGCTACACTCTCATTTTTTTGCACACGTTTGAGATTCTTATGAATCTCCAGAGAATGACACCATCATTCCCACAAGATCAAGTGTAGTATTTCCCATGGACCTCATGCGGAAGCCTGTTTGGAGCCTATCCTACTTCATGGTGTTCCACTGCAATTAAATAAAATTTAGTCCTGCTTACTGCAAAAAAGATCATTTTAACACTTTAGGGGAAAATATCATAACCATAAAGGCCTCAAATACAGTTAAAACTACATTCTGAAACGAATAAAGCAAAACGAGACTGAAGTTCAATAAAATCTGAGGTGAAGGAAGAGACGCATTTTGTAACTACTGACCTTGAAACGGTTGATCAGATCGTAGCGTGTGAGAAGTTCATAGAAAATGAATTTCAGTGCATGATCCCCACTGGCATCATTTAGTGCAAATACATCAAAGGACCATTTGTCTACATTCTGCAAAAGGCAGGGAGAACAGAGGGTTAATATGGTCATCCTTTTTATAATCATACTGCAATTTCTGTCAATTTAAATCTTTTACAAACAGAGGAGCATCATTTGATGGACAATGAGAGGGGATGTAAGTATATAACTCTATTTTAACTTACTCAATTCCTCTTAACCAATGCAGAGCATATTTTACTCTTCAGTATTATATGACTCGAGTTTAAGAAGCTTCCATTCAGAACACTTCTATTTTATCTGTTTGTTTATTCTAACTACAGCAATTCACCATAACCGAATTTAATCAATCGAGGCTAAATCCAAAACGGTAAGAATCATGGTTTGATTTAGTACTTGAAACTCTGGGGTGGCTCCATAGTGGCTGAACTTATCTTTCTCTGCCCCTTTACTCATGTGCTATGTCTAGGAAAACAATATTCATATTGAAGGAAACTGGAATAATGAAGATGCATTTTTTAATGATATTAAAGCCTCTTAATTTTGCTGTCTCTAAAGAGTTCTTCCAACTTCATATTGTTGAAAAAAGCACTCCAATGCTTCACTCGCACTAAAAATGGAATAAGATAATAGTCTCTTTTGCAGTAAAAAATATGGACACCTTTGGTCGTATTTCACCACTTGATACTCAGTCAACCAAAACAATAAATAACTAGGACTGTCTTGCTATACCCAAAGAGTAACCCAGTACCTTCTGGTTTTAGTATTAATTCTAAATTGTGCTTATTGCAGCTACAATTGACCAAAGATAGCATGCACCTGATTTTCTTTATATTTTCTAAAAGGTGAGTGAGTTCCCTGAGGCTTTCAGAAAACTACAGAGCACAGGAAAAATCACAATAATGTTACATTAGGTGTTAACATTGATATGAAAAAAAATCTTTATAAAATAAGAGTAAATATCTAAATCCAGTTGGGAGAGTTTCACTCAGCTGTAAATGATATAATAGTGCTGAGGGTGGTCAGTCAACAGATGGGGGAGGAGAAGTGCAACCCTCAGCTCATATAGCTAAACTATAAGGTATAAACCTACTTGCAGAAGGTTGAGTTCAATCTTGGCTCTTAGGGAAGGCTGTGGGAACGGGCTGCCCTCTTTATCTAGCAAGATAAGGTATCTAGTTCCTTGATCTCAAATAGGACGTTCCTGAAATCCCACCAACCTTTCACTCCTCCTCCTAGCAGCAAAGAGTAAAGGTGCATGAGGAGTTACAGCTAGAAGGATAATATACAGATCAACAGCTGTGTCTGGCACAGGGCCAGCTCTTAATCTCGCTCGCCTGCGGAGAGTTTTGATGTGCTAGGAACATATTTCTGCATATCTGAAAGACTCTACTTAAGCTGCTTGTTAAAGATTGACATCTAGAAATTGAAGTTTCTCTCCACTTTCAATCTCTGTTGCAGGTTGGCTCCCATTTCCTCAAGGCACTTTCTCCAAGAAAAAAAAAAAGACTGTATTTCATATACACATATGTACAGCTGGTTTTGCCTCTCCGTGCAAGAAATAGGGGTTGGCTAGACATCATGTTAGGTAGAGGATCATTAAGAAGTTAGCGTTCATCCAAAAAAATACCATTCTTTTTAGCAATACTAAAAATACTAAATTACATTTCTCTACCAACCTCTTAAAGGCCAATCCACCTTCATTGTGTGTCATCACAGTTGTGGAACTAGGACTACGCTGTTCTAGGTGAAAACCTGACTTAAGGTCAAATGCAAAGGACCGTGACCTTTAACTACCTTGCAGTCAGTCATCCATAAATCAGCATAGTTACAGGACTTACGTGGTGAACAAGAGCAATGTATTTTTGTACCGGCCCTCTCCAGTGTGGGCTGACCCTAACAATGTTGCTGCAACCATAAGTAGTGGTTACCCTGAGCTGAGTATTCCTCTTGAGAAAGTACAGTCCAAGGAGAGATTAATTTCTGTCTCAATCAAAGTCAGGGAACATCAAGGATGCTGAGGATTCAGCTCTACTTTCATCAAGTGTTTTCCACCTATACCAGTAAATCATCTGCTTGCAGAGCAGTTGATTTTACAAACTATGCAAAGCCCACACATTGAAGGCAGCATTAAGCTTCTTTGGAGATGATTTGTGGCCCAAGTCACAGAAGAGCAATCATAAATTGCAGCTTTTCAACATTTCCAGTAGGAGTTGGAGAAAGAAAATAAACAGGAGAGGAAAAATTTCCATCAGCAAAAGAGGTTTTAAAGTCCTTCAACCAACTTGGAAAATGGGCAAAAAAACTAGTATCCAAAGCAACTACTTTCTTTGCTTAAAGGGTGCTTTGTTTTTAGAGTGTTTATTTTTGTTTTGTAATCACTTATCTTAGTCAAATAAGCAAACAAATTTAAAACTTGCATGCATAAAACAATTTTTTTTGATTCCTATGACAATAAAAATAACGTCTCAACTATGCTGCCATTGAATCCACTGTAAGGCAGTCTTATCTTTTAAAAATAAAACTTTTGTGTTCCTTTACATATTTTTTTGAAGTTCATGATGTGCTTTTGCAGCAGATAAAATTTTCCAGGTAAATGTGGTCGCAAATAGTACATAAAAATGATCCTTTTGCACCAAGTAAGGGTTAACCACAGAGATGCTAATTTCACAACAGAGCCATTTAGATTTTACTGAGGGAGAGATCCTTGCTCTCATCAAGTCAAAGCAGGAGTTTTGCTGGTGTCAATAATGACAACAGTATTTTATCCTAATTAACTAGTGGGGAAAAATCCTCTTAACAGAAACATGGAACTGTCATAGATAGCTTAGAAGTTTGCAATAATACCAGTTAAACTTTGAAAATGAGTGGATTATATGACCTTTAAAAAAAAATTAACACAGAAGTGCCCCTTGTACTGGGGAGAGATCTAAAAGGAAGCAGAACTTCACAGATGTCTTGTGATGGGGGGGGAAAGATGCTGCTTCTTCTCCCTAAGAGTATTGAGGCATGGGAAATTCTCTGTGCTAGATCTGCTTCTAGGACATTGGTCCTACAGGCTCAGCTGAAGTGTCATAAGCTGCGCTAACGCCACATATACTCACTGTGCTGTAACTGAATATAAACCCAGGGGTTACTCTTTCTATGTACCATGCATTTATTTCTGGGCCATTGCTTAGCCTTTACTTGGGGGAACCTAGGGATAAAGTGAAACACCAGTTCTTCCTAAATGCTCTATTTCCTGTATTTCCATCTGTCTTTAACCTTGGAGACTTGATTTGTTGTATAAGTCAACAATCAGATTCAAAGATAAATGCTACTCAACATTACTAGCAGGACTGACATTTTTGTAGCCACAGTCAAGCATATGTCTATACTACAAACACTGCAAATGACAGTTTCTGTATTCATTACCTGAATATTAGCAGGTAGGCACGGGAATCAAAAGAGGCTGAAAAAAATCACTTCTAGAGCAGGCAAACATTTCATCAGTTAGTGAAGTTCAATCGCCAGTGCTACACTGCTGAACAAGCAGATCAGCACAACTTGCTGGGTAAATGAACACACTTATTCAGACAGGTCTGTAATAATGGTATGTATAGCCATTCCCCAAACGGGAAACAAGTTTGATTGCCCCTGTTGTGACTATAGGTCTTATGTCATCGCACCAATGTCACGTAGAAAGACACCGGGCTATTGCAGTAGAAAAATCAGTATGTGATGTATAGCTAAAAGCCAGATCCTATGCAATCAGATTTGCCTAACTTCTCATTCACTGAAAAAGTGAGGGAGACAATTTGCCTAGGACTTACACTGCTACCACTACATCTGCACTCTTTGCAGGAGCTGCAGTATTTCAATGCTTTATTAAAACCATGTAATCTCATTTTGCTAAGCTAATTCCACAGCTTTCGGCTACTCAGTGCAGACATCCTGTTGGCCACGGTAGCAAAAAGGAAACTATATCATTCAAAAATAAACTAGTTTTGAATCCATGATGTCCCAACCCTTGTCCTTATTGCCATGACTGAGGGGAATGTTGATTATGGCAAACTAGAACAGCTGAAGAAACATGTGTGGCGTACTCCTACACCCTTCCACGTGCTTAAAACATCAGCATGTTTTACAGAGGTCACCAAGCAGTCAGGTAGCTGTAATTTTATTTGGGGAGGGTTTTTTTTTTTTTTTTTTTAAACAAACAAACTTGGCTCTGGTAGATTAAAGCAAGCATTAAGGAGAGGGGACTGAAGCATTATTTTAACGGTAGAAGATATTTTTCCAAACAAGTTATTCCCATTTCAACCAGTTCCATTACCCATCCCGAGGCCATCCAGGCAGAGACATTCTCAAAATAGTTTTGAAAAAATACATCCTAGAGTAGACAGCAGCTAAGCAGGCGTTATTTCACCCAGAGCAAAATTAGTCAATGCCTTTCTTGTTATTGATGTGTCTTGACTGACTTAATCAGTTCTGTTTATGTCCTTCAATCACTTAAAGATATACAATAGGTAAAGGGATTCTAGGAGGTTTATGTCAGCTGAAAGTAGCTGACAGGTCTTGGTCTGTCTTTTTAGCTCTGAAGATCTCTGGAGATGAGGTATCATTATGGATATTTTCCCCCATAATCCAGCTATGGGATGTAGTTCCAAAAGAAAACTTTAGATCCCATTTGCAGGAAGGAAGCTAATACCTGTTAACCTAGAGTAGGAAAAAGGTGCAGATAGAATATATCAATTCTGCATAGAGGAATTTCAGCCTTTTAAGTTAGATCATTTATTCTAGTGCAGAAGAAACTTACAGAGAACCTTTTATCAACTTGGAAATTAGGAACTGTTTTTCTGAGTGATTTTCATTAATTACTAGTTTATCTCCTTCAGTATCTTGAACAATAAACACAGATGTTACATGCCTCCAGTATGATATGGGGGCTATTCAAACTGAACTGGAAGGGACCGTGAAATTTAAGTTAGTCGATTATCTCCCTCTGTACAGCGCCAACTGCACCTCCATCATTCCCAATAGACATTCATCTAATCTGTTTTTACAGGGTTCCATGGTGCTACAACTACTGTAGCTCATTAATTCCACTGTTTAACTATCCTTTTCCTTCCCAATTTTTTGTTGTTGTTGCAATTAAAACCCATTATGTCTTGTCCTATCCACCAAGGACATGAAGAACACATTATTTCAATCCTTATAGTAATCTTTTAAATAATGGAAATTTGTTACTACCTTTCCTTTCAATCTTATTTTCTCTAAACTGAATAGCCCAATTTCTGTCACGCTTTCCTTGAAGTTTTTTTTGATAACTCTTGCTGCACTCAGTGAACCTTCTCCAAATGCTCCACATCTTGTGATGAGTTGTACTATGCAAAAACAAAAGGATTCAGTACCCTAATTGTAGGCCTTTCCAGGGCAGAGCGGAGCAGAAAGATCGCTTCATGAGCTTTACACTTAATGTTCCTGCACATACACCCACAGCGTCACCTTTTTTCACCATTTCATGGCATACTTGAACCCCACGCAACTTGTAATCTGCTTGATTCCCATACCTGCTTCTGCAAAGCTGCTATGCATATAGTTGGTTTCTAACCTGTATATGGGTCTTGATAATTCCTGCCTAAGTCAAGAACCTTACAGTTGTCTTATGAATTGAATCTTAATTTTTTCAGACCACTTCTGATCTTTCAGTCTTCTTCTGAAATCACATAACTCGGAAAACAGTCATTATTCCTAAATTGATGGTCATCTTAAAGAGCTAAGGCTGAGCAATGCAAGAAATTCCCTTCTCTCACAGCAGCTGATGGCATTCCTTCTCCAGCTCTCTCCATCCATGTTTTCTTTCCTCCCTGGGTGAGGCTGCTACTGATTTCAGCATGTTACTAAGTCCTCAGTTTAAGCATTGTAACCTAGCACAAGCTGTGACCTTCACACTTGAAAATGGCCAGAGCCTTGAACTCTATTTTTTCCTTAACTGAAAGGATTTTCCCTTAGGTCAGTAAAGCATTAACATATGTGACCTATACTCAGCTTCAGAGGGAAGGAGAGAGCGAGGACAAAGACCTCCTCCCTCCAGTCAACTATGGCAGTGTTATTCTAATGTTTTGCACAAAAAAATCCCACAACTCTTTTTTGGAATTACCTTTAGCACTCCAATTACAGCTGGTGGGTAGCTCAAGCCGACCATATTTGATGTCCGTCTGTACATTCTACCAAGATAAAACAGTAAATAAAATTAAACAAAAAAAAAATCAAAAGGCAACAGACTTTTTCAAGAGACCTTATTTATCCAAGCAAACCCTGACTGTAGTTCATTTTTCCTTCCTAAATGGCACATAATTCCTCTATATCATTCTTAGTCTATAGCCTAACTTGATAGGCCACACACTCCCCACTATCTCATAACTTGGTCACTTGGCAAGACTTCAGGGAGTATATGCCAGTATCAGATCTTCAAGGGAAAAAGGCTATACTCAAATAAACAAGATGTTCCCCATTTTCCATTGCAGATGACCAGACTGCTCTTTCAGTTCCCTTTGTCCTTGCTGGTCCAGCATGCAAGCTAATTCTAAATGCAGTTCAGAAAACATTTATTGTCTGCAATCAGAATCCACTCTCGTTTGGTACAGCTGTTACTTTTGTGTGCATTTTTTAAGACTGGCCTAAAATCTTTTGGGTGTGTTTGTGTGTGAATAAGGCAATAACCAACATCTGCAACCATATTAAACAAAGCACTGAAGTATGTACTAGATTTTAAATATGGTTGCAGGCTACTCTGTGTTTAATAGGCTTGGATAAATGCAGGAACACTGACACAGTCAAACTGCCTTTCCACAACTCATCCTTTTTTACACTTGAACAACCTAGGACTAAAAGGAGATGGTGGAAAGCTGTCTTTTCCCATCTGAGATGATGCTGCGGGAACTTTCCCTTCACTTTCCTTTTTCCTTGTTCTGCACTCTGACCTGAAAACAAATCAGCCCTCTTTGCAGAGTTTCATTAACTTCAACCATAAAGAATTTTTTACCTCCTCCTCCCTCATTTACTCCTCTCAGGAGCGCAATAGCTTTCACTTGAAGTAACAATTCAGTCCCTCTCCCCTAGCTCAGGGGAACTACTACTCTCCTCTGGAGCCGTATCATTTCTGAACATTTCCTCCTTTGGGCCACACTCATTCAGATCAGCTAGAAAATAGCTTCCTTCAGCTGGTTCTCTGCAGTTCACTCATGTCCTTGTTGAGCAAGTCCCTCCTCTGCATAAGTGTCCACCAGGATGGAAAGAATATACTCAACTCCCTGTTTAAAATCTGATCTGCCTGCCAAGAAAAGGGTGGGGACTATTTCAGAGCAAGGTCCAGAGCCCTGAGACAGTAGCCATACTACCTCCTCTCAGGCCTCACTGAGACCAGCAGGTGACCCTGAGACCACTGCACCTTTGCTCCTTCCAAGGTCTTTCTTTCCAAGAGATTGAAGGGCTACACACAATTGACACTCCTCAACAGCCCTACAAGGGTCCAACTCAATTATTCCCCTTCACATCTGTATCCCACAGGAGGTGGCAGGCTTCGATAATCCAACCATTTCAAGAGCTGATAGTACTTTCAATAAAATTTTGAAAGATCTGTTCAAAAATATTAATTACAAACTTAAAAAAACCAGTTTGAACATGTTGTGATAAAACCAATTTGAAAACGTCGGAATCTTTTTCCACAAATACACATTTTTATTTAGGTCCAACCACATGAGTCAGTTATTTACCTACAAAACATGAAGCATGAAGCCAGGGACTGATACAGTCTACTGACTTGTCACCGGTAACAATATATAAGCTCCAGTTTCCATTAGAGTCTGATTGCAGAACAATTTCAGACAATAAAAAAACTGATTAAAAGTCACTCTTAACAAGAAAGAAAAAAGTACCTAAATTCATTACATTGCTGTTCTCAAAAATGCAGCAAGACTGAGGATTAATTCACAAACAGCTTGTCAAATTTGGGAAAGACATGTTCGAAGGAGAAATGACAGCAGACACTTCCCTGTTGGTATTATCAAAATTTGCTGCCACTCTTAACACACATACAATAACTTCCTGAGTTTTCAGGTAAGAAGATTAAAAATCAGCTATAAATACATAGGAAGAATCCGCCAAGTTTCTGGGTGGCCTGTGGTCCAGTGTCTGATATACCCTTCAATACAGAAGGCTAGTAGGCTATCAGTGAGATTCTGATAAACAGCATTGCTAACCTACTCTGACCGCGGTGAATGCTTGCTTTTGAGAGTAACTACACAGAGCAAGGCTCTCTGCAAACTGCAGCAGGAGCTCAGTGAAAAGAGCTCTACAGTGCTCTGAAATTCCTGTTCAACACTTCCATTTGTGAACTGAGTTTCACTGCAGAGATACAGGACATGCTGGATTATGCATTGTCTAAAGTCTATTGACTATTTCACGCATGTGAGCCTTCTTTCCAGGAAGAAAGGAGGGCGTCAGGGAAGAGAGGTTACTCAATAAGAAAAGGTAAGACTGGAAAATGAATCCAAATTCAAATAACTAAATGTTTTAAAGGATTCAGAAAGTTAAATTAGTTTTAGAACTAAGTTCTGATGCAAACCATGACTGAGAAGGCTGAGAGGGCTTAAAGGACTTTTTGAAATCCTCTGAGTTCCAAACCTTTCAGATCAGTCTAGGTTCATAAGCGTACTATATAATTCGAGGAGGCAATAATATGATATCAGATTTTCTTATTTTTCTTATCAATCCTTCATGAGAAATACTAGACAACAGAGGTAAACAGAGACCAGAGAGAGCCAGGTCTGCGCTCGCTGTATTACAAACTTTCATTACTGACATAGGGCTATGCAGAGGGGCATGTGACCTGTCAAAATTATTTCAGCGGTGCTACTACATTTGTATTATGCTAAGAACAGATCAGTATGTGCTGCTTCAGGTTGTGTTCTGTTATCTAGTCCCAGGTTTACAGGAGTTATTCACCTCTGTATAGAAATATCTTTTAGAAGCATATATTAAAGTATTCTTCATCCAATACTGCAGGTACAATCTGCAGTACTTGGATAGCTACCAGAACAAAGCAATTACATGCTTCTTTACCTTTCTACAAATATCCCAGCTTGTACTGCATGAACAATACTCCTGAATCGAGGCTTTTCCTCAGTCCTTTTGAGCATCATCCCCATTTGCCGCGTGAAGGTAGAAGCCAACCAGTCCCGGACCTCAGAGGGCACAGAGTCTGACTGGATGTCACTGAGCTCATCTTCTGTGTCCAGTAAACGCCTAGAAGGGGAAGGAAAAAGATGGGTAAATAGAGGATTCCCTAGGAGAGCACTGCAACATCATTAACAAGAAACAAACCCGCAATATAGTCTAATTAAAGCAGTTAAAAGTCTTCTGTTCGTAAGCCCTAACGGAACATTTTTACAAGCCTTCAGCAGATTGTTTACTCTCATGTACAGTTGAATGACAGACTGTGAAACTCACTACCAGGTCGACAAACGAGAAGTGTTAGCCTTCTGCAACACAACTACATAACCATCCACTGATTTCTCCTTTTCAGCTCGTCGATATTCATGACTTTTCTGCCCTTCAGAACTCATTGAAGTCAAACTTCCCAATTAGTATCACAAAGTCCTCTCATTTCACATTTCAGTGAGAAAGTCATTTGAGGTGACTCTGCAAGTGCATTCAGTGTTGGCAAAATGGCACATAACAGAGGGGAGAACTCCTCTGCCATGTCTTACCAGTTCATCTCCATCAGGAGGAAAAAATTTTCTGAATCTCTAAGAACTGATGCAAGTGAAAAGATTTAGACCGTTCAAAAGGAATAGAGGGATAGGAATTTGGAAATTTGCAGGAAAAGTAGGGCCCAATTGTTACGAAGTCTTTTCTCCACAAGAATATACACTAAATTTATGATTGCTTTAGATTTTTATTTCCCCTCAAGAAACTTAAAGAAGCTTTTAGGTCAAGGACTGAAAATCTGCTCTACACAGACTACAACATTTTAATGATTATAAACATATTTTTCTGAGTAATATATCTTAGCTAAAACAACTTTACCAGCTGACATGTGCATTACTTTATTACGACGCTAGTACTAGATACAAGCAGGTGCTGATATCTATTGTTAACTTACCTAGTTTCATCAATGTATACTGACTCAAGAACAGTGGCGGCATATTCTAAATTCTTCTTTAGGTCTACAACCGAAGCCTCCCCTCTCTCTAACTGCTTTACCAAGGATCGCAATCTAGAAAAGAAAAATAAGAATCTGATTAGCACCAAGAGGAAACAGGTTTAAGAGTGACCATCACTTCAAAACTGAATCCAGCATGAGACCTAGCATAGACGATCAGCAAGTGAAAACTTCTGGATGTCTACAAAGGTCTTTAATCCACATACAAGGAACCAACAAGTACTGTTTTCCAAACATCAGTCTCAATGATCTCAGACAAAACAACATATTATATTTAAGCTCAAATAAGTGAGATATGAATGTCACCTACTCATATTGAAATAAGTTAAAATAAAGACAAACTGGAGTTTAACGTAAGAGTTAAGAGGGGGCCATTTCATTCCAGCCATGAGAAAGGAAATAACTTCTTCAGTAGTACCTTTTGGCAAATGTCAGTCATTTATCACAGAATCCCAGAATAGCTGGGGCTGGAAGAGACCTCTGGAGATCTTCAGGTCCTAACCGCCTGCTCAAGCAGGGTCAGTTAGAGCAGGTTGCCCAGGACCGCCCAGTCAGGTTTTGAATGTCTCCATAGATGGAGACTCCACAGCCTCTCTGGGCAATCTGTTTCAGTGGTCAACTGCAATCACAGTGAAGTAGTGTCTACTTGTGTTTAAGTGGGATTTCCTGTGTTTCACTTTAGGCCCATTGCCTCTTGTCCTGTCGCTGGGCACCACTGAGAAGAGTCTGGCTCCATCTTCCTTACATCCTCCCTTCACATATTTACATACATTGATTAAGATCCCTCTGAGCCTTCCCTTATCTAGGCTGAACAGTCCCAGCTCTCTCAGCCTCTCCTTGTGTGAGAGATGCTCCAGGCCCTTAATCATCTCTGTGGTCCTCTGCTGGACTTGCTCCAGTAAGTCCATGTCTCTCTTGTACTGGGGAGCCCAGCACTGGACCCAGCACTCCAGATGTGGCCTCACCAGGGCTGAGCAGAGGGGAAGGATCACCTCCCCCAGCCTGCTGCCAACGCTCTGCCTCATGCAGCCCTGCCTAATGTATACTGTTGGCCTTATGATGATTTATGTTGATCCATGTACACATATGTAAATGTATACAAGAGTATATTTGGAAATACTCTTGCAAAAATACTGAAGTTAGGAAATACTATGATTCTCTTAGACTCTCCCATTTATATTAAATAGAACTCATAGAAGTTGTTTTACTACATTACTAACAGGGGGAAAATAGCTTTTTTAAAATGAAAATTGTGTAGATGTCCTCAATATTATAAAAAAATCTAAGAAGATACATGCTTAACATTACAAGAAAATAATCATTCCTTTAAAAGGATTAGCAACAGCATTCAAATACGCATTTAACGATGCAGTAGAGCTCATAAGTTGTTAGTTTGTCCTGTGTGCGGTACAGAAACGTAGAGATGTATTCACATCATCTAAAACCTAGCGCCTACTTAGGAGACTAGTCTTCCTCAGCTCTTTCTATAGTCTATGGTCCAAGCTATCCTTTTCCATAAGACAATTCAGAGCAAGAGCCCGATACAGGTAACCTAAATTGTCTCCTTTCTCTCTACATATTAACTACATAGGGAGCTCAACCTCCTAAACCAGACATCTAAATCAAGTTCTTAAAATCAAGTGAATACCTCTAATTCCCTCACTAACACAATGTCCCCGTGGCATCAGTGCCTTCAGGAGAAAACAAATCTCCACTGAGCCTGTGTTTCATGGCAGAGCTGAGAAGCAGTGAGTTTACAACTGTACCAACAGTTCTTTCCAGCTGAGTGGGTTTTTTTTTCCTCCCCACATAAACACAGACTGTGGATAACAAAAAACATTAAAAAAATATTGGCTGCTCCTCTGGCTAGCTCATATAAACTCCACTCCTACTGACAGTAGCACCACTGACACACAGCTACATATATAGATTTACAAAGAACTTTGAACAACAGCTGGACTCTCCATTTCTGGGTGTTTTAACTCATCTGCTTGTTGGTTGTCTTGAAAACAAAAGTACTGTTCACTACGTCATTCTTCATGTGGGAAAGGAGACAGAAAGGTCAGTGACGTACAAAGACACTAAACACAACACATCTCATCTTAATAACCCAGTGGAGAGCATTCAAACATGCTAGTAGCTTCTTCTCCAATGCTGAAACCCAGCTCAGGGAAACCATGGAGTACTGAGAACCCCGTGAAAGAGGAAAAATACTAAAGACACCCTGAGGAGCCTTGGTGCTCCCACACTCCCCCCTTTTGTGCAACTGCACCATCAGCTGCGAGCAACAACTCATTCTGTTTTACAAAGAGACCTAGGAAAGGCGCTCCTCAACTTTTCCAGGTCAAGTCCAGCATCAAGCAGCACATGTGGGAGGTTAATCTGCCTCCCCGCAAGAGCCAAACCGCTGTCCTCTCCTCACCCATTCCCAGCTCTACTTGCCAATGCCTAAGAGAAGTAAAAGACAGAAACCGAACCTTTGTGCCCAGATAGTAAGCAATGGCTCATGGGCCTTCTCCTTCCTTCATTCTGTGTGTGGGGAATCCTCAGATGTGACCCTTTAACCAGCTACCAGAAACACGTCTGTACACAAGCCAGAGGAATTAATCTTGCAGGAGGCACATTATTATTATTATTTGCCTTTTCCTGGCTTTCCTTTCACTGAGGTAAGTGCCTAACAGATCTAATCTACAAGTCACTCAAAATTCATATTCAATAATAGCACAGTGAGTAACTGTTGCTTTATGGCATCAAAGTTCATCATCGAAGAAGATCATGCAGAGTACCACATGCATCAGTCATTTGGAAAACAGAAGTACAGTTGTTATAATAAAACCTTGCCACACGATCAGCTGCTCTCATGTGAAAAAAACCGACATTGTCTTCCTCTTACCATCCATTATCTGTAACTATTTCTGATTCATTGACTCACAGCAGCTGCTGCCAGTTACCTTTACTAAATAAGAGTCCAATGATTGTCTTAAATGCACTCCACGTAGTTCTATCTGGTTGAAATAGTCCTAAATGCAATCATAAAGTTAAGGCTAGGCTGTCCCACTGAAGGGCATCCAGGCAAATTAGCAGAAAAACGCAGTTCAAGGTGGCTGAAGTCATTCACAAATTCAATCAAATTCACCACATCATTTTGACTGAACTAAAAACATTACAACAATCTCTTTTAACACGCCTCGATTTTAGGAACTTGTATTAAAGCAATGAAAACAGCAATGGCAACATCTGACTTCTTCTCTTATACCAAATAGCCTAGTCATTACAGAAAGTGAGTACAGTTCAGTTACTTGTACCATTTCATAGGACAGTGCTCAGTCTGTCAGAATACTGAGTAAAAGATAGATTATCACCATAATCAGTTTTAAGAATCCAGTTCATTTTTTATTTTGCTGTTACTACAGCTGTCTAAAAATGAGCTATTCTAATCTGTTTGAACAAAACATCTTTTTTTCAACCAAAAATTGTTTTGTAGTGTTCTGTTTTAAAAAGTTTATTTATTGATTCAAACCTTCATTTTCATTTGATTTTTTTTTTATTTCAACAACATAACTAAAAATCTGCACAGATCTACTTGACCTAGTTCCACTGAAGCCCATGAAGCTAGCTGTAGGAGAAGCTGCCGCTCACTGTGAATAAGGAGGTCCCAGACCAGAAGGCAGGTGTTAACCCTTGCTACTATTAAGCTGTCATAAGACCATGGGAACATGCCTCAAATGGGCCAGGCTGTAGACCAGAGTTTCTCAAATTACAGTCGTCAGCAGACACTTATAAAGAACTGGTGGGTCACACAATATTAGCTCTAAATCTAGTTGTTGAATTATATTAACAGACAGCAAACATTTTCCTTAACACCATTTCCAAGGGAAGCTGTTCCTCTAGTCCACAAATTCTCTGTGAACGTACACCACGTATTAAGGAAAAAGTCTGAGAACCTTTGTTCTAGAAACAGTTATTTCACACTTTAGACCTTGGAATAATCCCCTCACTGTGCAAAAGAAAACACCAGCCCTGGACAGTGCTAAGCATTTTTAATTTCCTCTGACCCCACAGACAGCTCAAGAAGGTACAAAAAGTTGGAGAAGGGGACAGGTGACTTCCAGAATATGGCCCCCCCATACTGCACTTCCAAGGGAAATATCTGTATAGGTTCCCTGTAAAAAGCCCTGAGAGTATGTGCAAATAATCCTATTGAACTCCGCGGAGGTCTGCAACAAGTGGGTTTGGTCCTTTCTGAAGATGAGAGGTTATCCAAAGTCCACACTCTTCCAAAGCCCTGTTCCTACTGTGTTTAATGTTTTCCTAAAGCGTGAACTATGATACCTAAAATTCAGAAGGATAAAAAGCAGAAAGACTGGGCAAATGAGCTTAGTCCATAAAAGTCATATAGCTCAAAGTCCCAAAGCCACTCTAAACCCAAACTGATTAACAGGAAAATGTGAAACTGTTTTCAGAGTATCCTTAAAATGTAAAATTTCTGAATAACGGTGCTCCAAGCAGTCTCCTCTGTTATAAATAAAACAGTATCTGTGTACAAATATTTATCTCCTTAGCTAGAGGGCTTGCTTTAATGCTGCTGATTTTTTTAAAAAATAGCACTACATATCACTGCAGAGAAGATTAACACCACCGCAGTCTGGAGACCAGTCAACTTCAATTAACATGCAAAGCACAAGTACTGTCTGAATACTTGGGGCAAGTTCCTTCAACTAGTATAAAGTCTGTAAAGCTGCATGGCTAGTCCTCAAATTTATTTTCAAAGCTTTATGACTTTGATTCACCAAACACTTTCCACAGTGCAGCTCAACCTTTTTCCCCCAAAATCATTCTTAAACCATTGCAGCAGGTAAGGAAAATCCCACCTTGAATGCATATTAAAAATTACAAAATAATATGAATTTTCTCACATAATTACAGTTGATCAAGGATGACATATCTACCTATTTTACTCTTTTGATATTAACTGCTGAAAATTTGATATTGACAGCTGAATCTAATCATTATGTCGTTTCAACCAAGATAGTCTAAGACTACATGACAGGCTA